TTTTTCCCCACATATTTGGATGTTTTTAGCACATATTTTATAAATTATACTTACATATATATGTACATATTTCTGTATTTTTATTACATATAAATCCGTTCCCTAATCATGAGCAATTTGAGATAAATTATTATGTATTTTCTATGCATAAGGGCTTCACGCCCTTATGAAATGTATCTCGCCCAGGGCCTCGAAAATTCTAGCGCCGGCACTGTATACAAGTGTGTGTGTATATGAAAAAGATAATAAAAATATGATATTTGAATAATGTTTGCTCATTAGATCACATTTGTGTGAAATGTGGATGTGGTTAACAATCAATAATCATTTATTTCCTTGCTTGAATTTTGTGTAGCGTATGGCATATGATAGATGTGGTTTAATATTTATAAGAGTTCATTTATTATACATATTATGTATCATTATATACTCTTGCATATCCATATGTAATGCAGGGTGATTATGGTATTATTGTTGCTAAGTACGTGGAACACGACAGTAGTATATACTCGTATTACACATGCACTTAAAAATATCAAAATATGCATTTTTAATATTTTTACAAAATACAATTTAAATACTGATAAAAAAAACCTTAGTTCAGAACATTTATTTGTTTTATTATATAATCAAGATGATAATCTAAAAAAATATTTTAATAATTTTCCAAATTCCTTTAACATTTACACATTTTCATGTTATAAAAAAAAAAAAATTAAATGAATATTTATAAAATGTACAGTTTTAATTATTTTAATTTGATATTATTAATTAATAAAATAGAACTTCTCAAATATGAATTTTAAGTAACAAAAATAACCTAAAATATATAAAAACATATTCCTGAAAAATTATAAGTAAAAATAGTATAAGAATTATTCACCAATTTGTGTTAAAAAATTAAAAATTCCTGTAAATAAATATACATTTAATTAATATCCTTAAGTTATTAAGGGCAATGTTTTATTTTAATTTAATTAATACTTTTATCAATTATTTTATGAACTCGCAAATTTACGCTTCTGATCTCCATTTCCATTTTGGTAAAATCTATGATACTTACTTGGGGTTTTATCAGGCCCTATTATTTGTACAATTTCGGACTGCACACTTGATTTTATTGCTTTAAATGAAAATTTAGTATCGCTACTATCTTAGAAAAAGGAATATATTACATACATAATATATTTATATATGCATTGAATTTTAAAAAATACAATAATACTCATATTTCCTAGTAGTTGGCTTATTATTTAATTTTTGTTTTGTAGACCGTAGTGCACACTTGTACATTCGTGGTGCACATGTGTGTCGGGGTGCACATAAAAATAGGGCCTGCGTTTTATTCCTTTCTAAGCTAAATAATTATTTTTAAAGTATTATTAAAGGAACTCTCATGATCGCAATCAAAGACCACAATTTTATATCCAACAAAATATACGGCAATTAAAAGGCGATGGTTGAGGCCAGTCTGTTCTTGGGTTTGAATTCGACTTTGTTGATTAATATACCACATTTATCACAATTTTTTTGTGAAATAAATATAATTAATTGTGAAATTTTGTAAGTTATGCAACTATAACTAAATTGATGTAGTTTTGTGTAATTTATGAATTAAATGTAATAAAGACAGGACTTTAAAATTCACATATTAGCCATGCGATGGACTACGTACTAATAACAATGTAGCCCATTAATCTAATGAAATAAAATTAATACTGAAATGTATTTAAATTATACTTATATTTTAAAAATTAAATATTAATGTAAGTACTAATTGTGGTAAGGTGGGTCAAAAATTTCCAAACTTTTTTGGCAGGATCATCCTTTTAAAATAGTAAAACAGTTTGCTTTTGTAGAACCTTAATAGCAGAGGCGTATTTATAGGAGGGGGGGGGGGGGTTCCCACCAACTAAATAAATTACAGTGTTCAAATTTTTAAATTTCGATCAATTTGAAGTTTATTAACTTTGTAAATTCAAATAAAGAAAAAAATTTAAAATTTATAAAATTAATTAATTTAATAAATTTATCGTTATATACATAAAAGAACAGGCCTTTTTTATATACCCATTTTGTGAAGACGTTATTAAATTTTTTTCAATTTTTTTTTCACAGAATTGTTCCAAATACCTTCCTAAGTGTCATCACGTTACCCGATTTTCAAAATTTTGATTTTAAAGGGTTGACATCGGTAAAAAAATTTTACATGTAATTTGTATATCTATATTCATATAATAATAACAATAGCAGTTGACCGATTACGGTTACTATGACTTATGTAGGATTGTATGGAAAACCGCGTTATTTTGACAACCACAAATAACCGAGCTGATTCAATAAACTCGCTAATAATTAATGGATTTCAAGCTCTAGAAATAAATTACTTTTCTATCGATACAGTCATTAATAGTGGAGAACAGATATATTTTCCTATTGAGTTTTTAAATTCACAAACACCATCTGGTTTGCTGCCTCCTCATAAAATATCACTGAAGGTAGGAGTTCCAATTATATTATTGAAAAGTTTGAATTCTTCTATATAGTGGGACTAGGATCCGTGTAACCTATCTTACAAAAAATATAATTAAAGCTGAAATTTTGACCTGATGTGTTAAGGGAGAAAAAATATTTTTACCGAAAATACCATTATACTCCTACGATTTTACGGTTAAGTTTAGAAGAGTTCAATTACCAATAAAAGTCTGTTTTGCAATGACAATAAACAAAACCCAAGGTCAGACTTTAACTTACTGTGGTGTAGATTTGGAATATATGCTAAATTATTTTTCAAGTTATTATTTTACATAATATCAGAAGTAATAGCGATTGCAATATCTGAATCAAGATTTGAAATATCTTCTTTCATTTAGTTCCAATACAATAATTGTAAATTAAATAAAAAACTGTATTGAAATGGTATGAAAATGAGAAATATTAACAAAATATGTATTTACATCGAAATATGTGAAAATATATAAAATAAAAAAGGTCTCATATTATTCAAGGTGTATGAAACGTGCTTATTTTTAATCGGAATTGAGAGATTCACATTCAATAAAATTATGTAATTATACAAAAATCCGCGCCCTAATTATTCCAATGGAGTTATTGACGAATTCGCAATTAAAAGAAGGAAACTAGTTGATCATGTAGTTTATAATTAACGAAATTAGATTTTTCAATAAGATAAAAAAACAGATAAGTATTTAATTTTGACTATTTTATACTGATTTATAAAAAAAATGCATGATGACACCTTCCCCCCTACAAAATTATTTGCAAATACGCCACTGCTCAATAGGCTCAAGAACTAAATTTAAATACATTTCTGGGTAACGACATACACTTTTTAGTTTGTTATTATTAGTATTGACCGATTTTATAACTTAAAATAATACATAACATTTTCTTTTCTGTACTTACCTTTTGTTGCACACAAATAAATACATACTTAAAATATAGGAAAACGTTTTTTTTTCTTCAAATAGAATAAAACAGAAAACATTTCTTAATATTTTCACATATCTTGTGAAAATATTAAGATTGTCTCATGTAAATAACACTAAGATTCCGTGGAACATTTTGTAAACCACTGGTTAGTCACTATAAGGTGATAAAAATTACTTAAACAATTTGTATTTTCAATTTTGTTTTTATCTTTTATCGTTTTTTTATATTTACTACTATCTTCAAAGTTACCTTAGTTTTATTGAATATACTTAATAGAAACATATACTTAGAATATCTGTATATATATAATTAATTTTCCTGAGTGATTCATCATAACCAGAACCGCTGAAGCTATGATTATAAAATTTGGACAGCAGTTTTGTTTTATGATGTAGACAACCACTAAGAAAGGATTTTTTAAAATTTGACCCTTAAAGAAGTTAAAAGAAGTAAAAATAAAAAAAAAATCACCTAGTCGGAACAACTGAAGCTACGAGTTTGAAATTTAGTAAATTAATTTTATGATACAAAAAACCCTTAAGAAAGGATAATTCAAAATTCAACCTCTACAGGGGTTAAAAAGCTTAAAAGAGGTAAAAATGGAAAATATTGATAAAAATTATATTTTAATATGCACCTTGATCAGTGCTAGGTAACACAAAAAATTAAACATGGGAGAAGCTGGGTTATTCAGCTAATGTAATATATAATATAAAATAAAATTGTAGATTTAACCTCGAGTGTATAAGATAATACCACAATATTAAATTATTAACATTTTTGTAAATGCTTTTTCTTATTTCCTACCTGTATATTTAAGAATCAAATTTGCTTGGTCAATAGCTTTAAAGAGGTAATAGTAGTCTAATATAATATAGGAAAATAAAGGGTTAAGTTTTGGTAAATTATGTAATTTTTAATGATAATTTATATGAGTTGAAATATTTAAAATAAAATGATGATGAAAACTAATAATTGATTATTAAAAACTTAACATTGGATGAAAACCAAATAATATTTAAATTTAAAGAAAGTTTTGATAAAAATTAAATTTAAAATATGTATCATTTTCGACAGTGAACTACAAGGAAATTATTATCCCATGACCCATTTAATTCCATTGTTAATATAAAAACTATTAATTCTAAGACCCTATATATTTGTATACATTATATACATATATTTGTTACTAAATTTTATATTAATATGGAGCAAGCATTTTAATAGGTCTAATAAAAGTAAACATAATTGTTAAATAATCTTGTCTATATAATTAGTATCATAGTAAATTAAAAAATGTATTATACGAACATATTTATATTATATACATTAATTAGACTAATCTAAAATGAATAATTAAAAACTAAAAAATTAAATAAATTATGATAAGCTTAAAGAAGAACACTTGAATTCTTGATAAATACTAAATTTTAAAGAAAATGCTAAAGTAGAATTCCACCTTACAGTTCTAAAATTGTTCTTTCATTATCATTTCAAATAATTTAAAGAAAAATGTATATTTTCTATAACAGCAAAAAAAAAAAAGATAATTTTTAAATTTGTTCCAATTCAAATAAACAAATAGTTTAATTAATCCAAGTTATAGCTTTATTATCTTACCCAAATTAAAATTCCATCTGTATTAATTTATTAAGTTTTGCTAGTATTTAAAATTTCAATCCTCGATGTTTACGCTTTATTCGTGCATATGGACCTATGCTAGGATCCATTATGAAATCGTATAAGACATTTGTCCATGAATTATGTTGAGGTATATTGTCATAATACTCAGGTGCGATTTTTTTAACCTACATTTATAAAAAAAATGATTAATACTGCTATATTAATAATGATAATATCCTTATATTATAACATTTTACTAAATCATTTGAATATAATAATTATATTATATTATAATTAATGTAATAATTGAAATCACTTAATTACTCTTCAAGTAAAAAAAAAAAATCATTAATTTTTAATAAAATAATACTTAATAAGATAAGATTAATTATAATGTAAGTATTTTTTTAAATCATAATAAATGTTACTTAGCTTTCCTTTCAAAAATTTAATTATAAAAAGCAAAATGGAAATTAATTAAAGACATTTAAGATCAAAATTAATAATGCCTCTATATTCTTGTAAAATTTCAGTTTTCTTTCATTCCTTTTCAAATTATTATATAATACTTTTATTTTCTTAAATCAATTTGAAATAGTATAAATTATATACAAATGAAGAACACAGTCAGACAAACAGTGCTTATTGATCTTTATATAGTAGCCCATCCATCTCACCACAATGAATCAATAACCGATTTACAAGCCATTTCAATTTCTTAACTCAGAGAGTAATGTATTAAATACACTTTATTATAATACATTGTATTATAATTTCTATAAAGCTATATTGAATACTTACTTGCGGGAGTTTAGAACCAGGTACAAATGGAAAATCATGGTGTTCATTATGATATCCAACATTGAATGTTATGAAATTTAATGGGCCATAATATGAGTATGTTTCATATCCTTTATGGAACATATAATGTTCAGAAATGAAATGTCCTGCTACTGGATGTAACCCCATTGCCATCAATGAACCAGCCAACATATAAGTTAGTACCTTTGATCCTAAGATAATGTTTAATTCACAAAGTATTATTACACTATATTCATTAAATAATGTTAGTAATTTAATCTGCCAACGTTTAATTTTTACATATAATAATTAATAATTAATAATGAAATAATTAGTTAAAAAATATAAACAATATGTTTTATAAAAATGTAATACTTTTTGAACTTGAAAATTTGATAAGTAAATATTTTTAAAATGTATATTATTTTTAAAACCAATAGATTTAAATTACTTTTTTTATACATAATAATATCAACTCAATTTATTGATACATTCCATTTAATCAATTTTAAGGAAATATACAAAAATTATTTCATTTTTCAAAAACTATTTATATTTTTTTAATTTAACTTCTAATAAGTATTACTCATATGCTTTGTTCATATTTCATTATTTAATAGGTATACGGTTAAATTGATATTCAATACACATACCAAGATATAAATAAACCAAATAATTAAACATCAATTGAATAGAAACACTAATGATTTCAAGTGCAGTAGGACTTTTCGGATAAATAAACATAGGTCGGAGGGCATAGAAAAATGGCTGCAACAGTACCCAAATAAACTTTCCAAATGTTGAATTAAATAATTTTGCTTCGATATATGTAGGTATATCTGTATCAAGCTTCTCATCACCTTGGTACTGTGAATTAGAAAGGCATTTTCTGATAGTTAAATAGCTATATTATATTTTTATTTAATATTAAATATTTGTATCAATTTATAATTAATGAAAAACAGAAACTTGCAGATATTTAAGAATTTATACTCGTATATAGAAAGAATAAATTTAAAACAAAATATAACTTTTGAAAAAATTATTTTACTTACTCGATGATGTTCTAAATGATAGTGCTTAAATGTAACAGAAAACGGAAGACCAATGGGCAAATTAGCAAACATACCTAATAATTTATTGTACATAGGATACTTAGGTCCAAATCCCATGTTATGAGCAATTTCATGTATTGCTAAAAATTGGTACTAAATTATTAATTAATTTCATTGATTGTAATCAACTTTAAACAAAAGAAAAAATTGTAACCTTACCAAGCATTAATGAGTGATTTACTACACCTCCAAAGCAATAAGCTAAAATTATTACAATTGGCCATTTTAAATCTTTTATGAAATAAAATGATCCTAATTGCAATATTGTTGTGATTATAACAATCCATTTAAAATTTTTATCTGGGCCATAAAGTTTCTTGATTTCTGGGTGTTTTTCTGAAATAAAATAATTGTTAAAAAATATTAAATAATAAAATAAAATAATTATTTAATAAATAAATCTTTGTACTTTATACAATATGTATCTATAGTATGATATTTCAAATTTATTCCCCTTGAATTAAATTAATAGTAATATAATAGTCAGTATTGCTTATAAAAATGTTAAAGTATCATGTCAATTATTTGCAGGAAATTTTTCATATGAATAATAATATAGATATAATACATTTGTGCATGGAAATTGTCTGTAATCAAAGGAAGGAAAGGGGGTTTTAAGACTATAAAACAAAAAATTTGAGGATCTTGTAATGGATAAACTAGAAATATGTAAGAGTATAAATATTCAAATGTTAATATATTTAGCTGACACAATACAATTTTGTATTCATAATTAAAATAAATGTGAGTTATTATAAAAACATAATTAAATCAAAGTTTATTTTCATCAGGTACCTAATGGTTTATTCAACAGAAATAATAATAAGTATGCACACATACTAACCCAAAACATGAAAAAAAATCAAAACATCAGTACTTGATCTATTGATCTATTCTATTTTAATTTACCATAATAATTAATAAATAATAACGGCTTTGAAATACACAAAAGTGACCAACTACTGAAGCATTTATGGTTGTATTAATATCTAAACATTTCAAATTTAAGACATAGAATTTAATTTTAATGAAAAGTTAAATCAATAAAAATTAAATTACATATTTACATTATAATTATACTTTCTACATGGCTGTATATTGTTTTAAATATATTTACTATTTAAATGTATTGAAACTTTGGAAATATTATGGAAAAACAAACAAATTATAAAAAATTTAGAAGAATAAGATAAGTGTATTTTCAATAAAGAATTATATCAACTATTTATTGAATATGTGTATACTGTCACTAAAGTAGTTAGTTTACTTGATAGTAATTTATAAATTTATTTATTTTTATTTTATGTATCTAACAGTAAATAGCAAGTAAATACAATTAATTTTCAAAAAATTAAATTAAAATTAAATTACAATACGTTTTGATTTTATAAAGTAAAATGTGTAATAGTTTTTATATTTAATAATATTGAAGAAGAAAATTTTTTTTTATTAAATATATTGTAATTATTAAATGACAGTAATAAATTATATTTTATTAGAGAAGTATGGTATAAATCAGGGGTGGGCAACTAGAGGCCCGTGGGCCGTATTCGGCCATCAAGCCTTTTTATCTGGCCCGTTCTATATTTTCAAATTACATCATACAATTTTAAAATGTGTCGTCTATACTCTATCTTATTGATATAATAATTTTTATCTGGTATTAAACATTGTGTCTAAATGTCATATATATGTATACGTAAAGATGTTAAAATACGGTATTTTATTTATTTTTTTATATAATACCGTATTATACCGTATAGAACCTTGCATTATCTTAAATTATAAGAAATTTAACAAAGGTTATCACCCCATTGTTAGTTATGAAATATAAATTATTTTAATATGGAATAATTAAAAAAATTGTTTAAAAAGTTAGAAAAAATTAAAAAAAAACATATAATACAAGAAATATTCACCAAATTCATGAAATGAATATTTCAAAAATATTTAGTCATGCTATCGATTTAAAATTATGATATAGGTAACATACATATGTATTTTATACATAGAAATGCAAATTTTTTAAATATAAATAAAGAGAAAACTATACTTAATACTTTTATAGTTATATAATATCTCATTGTACCTATATATTTAAAATATTTGAATATTATAATAGTACAATAAATTGATTTTAGTCATTTTTAACACCTGAATTCTAAATTAACACGATTACAATAATATTGTATATTTTTAATTTTTATAATAATACTGTACTTTTTTGGAGATCCATTCTATAATTACAACTAAAAAATTAATAGTTGAGTTACTAAAAATAACTAAAAATAACGCTTTTTTTTTTTATACTATCTGTATAAAATAATTTTACACTATATATACATATAACTTTCAAACTAACCAAGCTGTTTGTACCAAACTATCTAACTATATCAGTTTCTTCGTATCACATCTGTCGTGGGTGTTGAATTTATTATTTCGATGTACCTACATAAATGCTGATTAAAATTCATATTTTGAATGATCTTTTTTTTCTATGCTTTGGCCCGCTGGATTTTAATTTTCTAAAAATTGGCCCTCTAGTAACTTTCAGTTGCCCATCCCTGATATAAATGATAACATAATATAATGTAATCTACAAATTATTTAAAATAATCAACTTGTCATTCCCACTGTAATTTAATTTATTAAATATGTAATTCAAACTAAATTTTTCTAGTAACTATACTACTTATATATTGTCATAAATGAATCACAATTATATTTCTGAGTAAAATGGTACTATTTTAGTATAAGATACATTTTCAATAATTTAAGTTTTATTTAAGTAATAATGTAGAGTAATAACAATAAATATTTTATAATTCTGTAATTCTTTATTTGTGTAAACCTCATTACCAAAACTCTTAATAAATTATAATAAAAAAAAAAAAAGATGGTTAATGGAAAAATTAATGATTTTATTATGAATAAATAATTTTTCAGTTGACTGAAACTTAAATTGTTTATGTTTGTTATAAAAATATTTTACAAATTACATGTTCTAGTTTAAAAGCATAATTTGTACATGATAGGATTACACTTGTAAGTCAATATTTAAAATGTATTATAAAATAGTATATCAAGTTCTACTGTTTATAACTTAAAATAAAATACAAATAATTATTTTAAAATTAAGCATTTAGTTAGAATGCATTTACATAATCAAGTGATAAATAAATTTTAAATAAATAAATCACCTTATATTTTATATAATTCTAGAAATAGTAATTGTTTTATCAGAAAAAACAATTGTATAAAATGTTATCTACATGTTTCCTGATAATATAATTTAAAAAATTGCTGTTACATAACATGCAGAATAATACATACATAATTGTATAATAGGTAATTAATTAGATCTCGAATCAAATAAACATGCATAAAAAGTAAAAATATATAATTAATATATAAATTAATATTTAGGGAAAACAATATTTCTAAAATAAACTATTAATGAAAAATATATTATTAAAAGAAATCATTAATAGTATGCATAGTTGATACATTTTAATAATATTTTTAGTGTTATGTTCAAACAATTGTACTAAATTTTTAGTGAATAATTTTTAGTAAAATAAAATAAGTTGAAAAAGAACTGAAAAAACTATCTTACTAACCTAAACTATCACTAGGTATCTATTTTATTTGAAATATTTTTTTTATTCAGTATCAATAAGTTTAAAACTAAAAACTATATTTTGAAAATATGTAAAGGCTTATTAAAGCAAATGTATTGTTTAAATAATTTAAATGATTTGAAAAGTGGGCGTTTCATTTTTAATACAGTAACTTTTAGGTGATGGTAGACAGTTTCCAAATCAAATAAAAATCAAACCCACCACCAACATACAATGACTATACATGTTCGTGTCATAGCTGTAGTTATAATTGACTTCGAGAAAACTAAAAGGATCAATAATTTGATTTGTGTAAATTAAGCATGAGCGGTATATAAAAACGATGTCCGACCACAGAATTTCGTTTATTATGGAGTGAAAAAAAAGATGATTTATTTAATCAAAATATAACGAACCTAGTATTTCTTTCCTGCGCGTCGCATGTGGTTCTTCTGTGAACGACCATTCGAAATCGGTTCTGGACACTTTCGCTCCCATTGTTGTACAAATGATAATTTTATCGCCGTGTAATATCAATCATGATTTAAAAAAAACTTGGTTTCGATGCGATGATTGTACGTTGACTAGAGTATTAAGACTAGAAAAATTCAGACTATCAGTTTACAGAAGCAGAGAGGCAGAGAGACGGAGAGTACGCATTGGACGGTAGAGAAGCACGACACCCGGCATAACATTGGGCGGCGGAGCGGAAGGATGGAGGGTGTGGACAGTACGTCAACTCCAAGACCAAAGATAAGAGATAGCGATTATATGTACAACTGTGAAAATTATGTGATTTATTAACCTTAGTTGCAGCTCACGTGCTACGGCCCAGATATTTGATTGTGATCAATACGGTAGAGCATGGATAATTACCGATTCGGAAAAAGATATGGTCAATTGGCGAGAAAAACGAAAAAACAACCGATAATATTACTAGTGCCATTTCGATTGTTTTTTTTTTCCAATCGAGACGTGTAATTACTTTAAAAAAATTGATAAGATATCGCAGTCGGTCAGATTATTTTTCGAATGCTCAAATACCTATTAAAATCTAATCACAACAATGACAGTTTGAAGCATGTAACTTTTTTACTAATGGACCAAACCCTTCATCGAACAATAATGTCGATGAAAAAAAAAAAAACGATGTTTTGATATCGATTGTTATTCTTTGGCTACTAACTAAGTGTGCAATATTACGTTTTCGTTTTACGAGGAATAATTAATTAGTGTGTTACAATATTTTATTACTATTGTTGAACTATAAATCATTTGTTTCATAATTAATTGTTTGAGTAATAATGCAAGCACAACAAAATAATAGTTTGGTAATTATTCAAAGCTATATTTATCAATTCAATAATTATCTAATAGTAATATAATAATTATCTAATCATATTATGACCTATTGACTATATTATTGTAACTTAACGGCGCGGCGTTGATAAACGATATAAGTTAAGTACATGTTTTTTTTTTACTATCCCTAGTCTTCACTCTTTATGTTTCTACGAATAATTATAAATATTTTTTATTGTTGTTCGAGATCCGTTGTAGTAGTACACCAACACGGTCAATGTAATGATATGTTACATACATGTTAATTACACAGTCCATTTGCACTTATTATTAATAAAAAGGTACCGATCTATCGCTTGTGGTTTATTTTATAACACAGTTTTGTAATTTGCTATTATTAGTTGATGAATATTAATTTTTTTTTAAGAAACGATATGAGGTCTAGCCATTAAGATTCGGACATTTCTCCGTAAACCGTTTCGCCCATAGACGTGCGCACTGGGTATGCAGTCGGTGGCGTATTTACGGGTCAGGGAAGGATATGGGAAATAGATCCATTCTCTTGAACTTTTTTTCCTATTTATAACAGGTACTATAATTTTTACTAAGACAATGTAATAGAGGAAATTTAAATCAAGAATTTGACGTTTGAACGCTCGTTATTTTGTAACGCATTTCGGTGGTGAACACGTATGCAACGTAATTTTAAACAAATCCTTATGGCTAATCCAAAAATTCAAGATTATTTTATTGAATTTTATTTTATTATTTTATTACTATTGCGTCACAGTATTTTTTCCACTCATTGATTTTTATATTGACCAAATGATTGAAGTGTTTATTAACCACAAAACAATATTTGAAGATAATAAATCATGCAAGTTTTTGAGAATAAAAAATTAAATTACATAGGTATCTCACTTTTATTTGTTTAGGATTTAACTGTATTTTTAAACAAGAATTACTATTGTTAAAAAATCAAAAAAATAGGAGTTTAAAAAACTAGTTGAGTTTTGTTCATTTATAATTAATCTATTTGATTCATGAATTTAACATGCGTGACATAAAATAATTACGAACAACTCTCAGGATTCACGCTTTGAGTACTTGCGCTGTGGCATATACATAACTTTTGTATGGGGGATGGTTTGCAAACAAATCATTATTTTTTTTTTTACGTTTCTAACGACTTGACACTAAGAACATTATTTTTATAACATTTAAAAAAATGCCTAGGGGGATCTGACCCCCACATCCCCCCTTGTATACTCCACTATACTTGTGATAAATAATTATATCCCTTTATTTACATACTTATTAAAATATTCTGCATATTGCCAGTGTCAACTGCAACTCTGAAACAATAATTTTCTTCTTTAGAAAGGATAAATGAAAAAAAAGTTAAAATATTTTTAATTTATACATTATTATTTTAATAATTATATTATACAGTACAAAATATATAATAATGTATATGAATTATAATTACTAATAAAAAAAATATTTAATTTAATTAAAAATTATGATTAACAAATTAATAATTAAAAAATGTAATTAAATTTAATTGATCAATTGATTAAAAACTATAGATTATTGTCTATATAGATTGTCTAATTAATCGTGGTATTTTAACTGTTTCATCTACTACGTTTGCTACTTCTAAAAATAGTGTGTGTGTAATTCTTCCTCACTATTTTCACGAATTAAATGACTAACCTGTACACAGTTATAGTATACATTAATGTTTTAATGTATACAATAATTCGTTTTCATACATTTTATGACATGTTCATAACACTCGGATTTACATATATCTATATCTCATAACCTGCATAAATGTTTTGTAGGGATTTACATAAAGACAGTGTAATAGGAAATAGTTTTTTTTTTGTCACGCCTGCACCGAAAGTTTGGTTTTCGACCACGGTTGAAGCGTTGGAAAGCGACCTTTTTCCGTCCAGCGGACGGTAAAGTGGAAATCCCCAAAAGTGCGTATTCCCCAGAGTTTATAGATAATATTATCTATAAACCTTGCGTATTCCCTACATAGGCGCTTATTCCCAGCATAACCAGAAACTGAAATATATACCACGATCCTCACAAGACGTATACTTTTGGTTAAATCTTATATTCATATAACATCCTTGTATGATGCATAAACATTTACACATATTTAATTTTCACTGTTCCTACCACGATTATAGATAGGTTAGGTACCTATATAGTTATTTTATACGAATACGAATTAATGCATATATATATACAGCGGCGGATTGGCCCATCGGGATACCGGGAAAATTCCCGGTAACACTGTGCCGATGTACTTAGATTAAAAATGATTTTATAAAAATAATGTATTTAAGTGTTTGTTTGTATTTAATTGTAAGATTGTGATCAAAACCTAGTGCGGACGTGATGTAAACAGTTCTACGAGCATTTAATCCATGAACAAAGGAAACTTTTACGGAAAATCATTAATATTGGATGGTGGGCCGGTCATACAGTATTTTGTCGGACCGAAATTTTTAGCCAATCCGCTGCTGTATATATATATATGTACTTAAACTCAGCAGACAGAATGCTAAAGCTGCAATTATTTGAGTACGTTCCATTACCTTCCATTAAGTGAAGTTGAATACGAACTTAAATGTTACTAGTCAAATAAAATAAGTGTACATGCACGAAAAAGAAAAAAACTGCACAAATTAAACACGCAGAACGTTCTACACCTTCACGCACTTGTGCGGTAACTGCATTTGAATACAATTTAAGCATCTTGGACTCACGCTCGCGTTGCTTGTCATATTACAGCTCGCGTTGCAGGGGCGTATTTAGACTTACTTCTAGAGGGGGGGGGGGGGACTCAAATTTTTTCTTTAATTCAGACTCAAAATTTACTAGTAAAATTTTTGGTAATATTTATATCAGGTGAATCCTTAAAATTTGTGGTTTTTTTTTTTCCTAATCTCTTGCCGGATCCACTTAGAATGGTATTTTGTGTATATCTGTGTTATGAAAGTTTCGCTTGTGTTTTATCTAATTTCTCATTAAGTATGGATTGGGTCTTCAATCAAAATAATATATATTATTTATCGTTATGGGACATATAAACGTTATAAGCAATTGAGCAATTGAGCGTTTAACGCTATAAATAATTTAAACGTTATTCAATTTAAGCGTTTAAACATTATACAAATTTAAACGTTTAAAAAATTTTCCGTTTACCGTTATTGACAATTGAAACATTATGAAAAATTTAGCGTTTTGCGTTATTTAAATTAGTTTAAAATTTGAAACGTTTTCAAATGTAGTAATACTATAAAATAAATCATAATTTTTGTTTCTTAATAAAATACCCATTACTTGTATAAAAATTGTCTTGGTCTAAAAATTCTCGGGGGGGGGGGGGTTGTCCCCATCGCCACCCTCAAATACGTCACTGTCGCGTTGTTTAATTTACCGCTGTTTGTTGGGTAGCGAAAATGCGAGGAGCACGATTAGCGTGAGTGACGCGTTTACATACTCGGGCTACCGACTTTCAAGCTCACTTCCTTCCCTGTCCACTGCCACAGAAGTGAGCTGAATGTAATCGAAGTATGAGATACTGATTGAAACAATGAGTGTAATTTATAAATTGTACACATATGTTGTCAAAAAAGCTATAATAGACCACCTCCGGTGTGTTATGATTATATTTTATTCATAAATACTGGCTTGGTAGGTACTCATATACTTAATAGCCATTCATTAGCCAACACACACACACACACACACACACACACACATATATATATATATATATATATATATATATTCATATTCATAATACATAATTAATATACAGATTGATTAGAATGCTCACCAACAGATGCCGTATTCGACATAATATTTTTACTATCATTATATTAAGTGTTGGCTAATACGAATACATTTAATTATCACGTCACAATTTGTAGTCCAAGTAATGCAATGTGTTTTAAATTTGATTTCAGTTTTGATTATTTGAACTGAAACTTTTGCTGGATATTTTCATGAGGATGTTTAGGATAGGTATTTGCTTAATCGATTTCAAGAGGAAATGTCACTCAAATTTAAAAAACTTAAAATAATCAATACAGCGACAAAGGCAGGGACATAGCCCTACCGTTAGGCAATGGTTCAATTTTAAAGATAATAATGTGGGCATATTTAATAAATAGAAAAACAATTGAAGGGCTACGGAGAAAAGCGATAATAGTCAATATTCTTTAACTATTTAATTGTTTTTAAACTTTTTTATTTTGCCTTCGTTAAAACATTACAGCAAAGTAATTAAATAACTTAAAAATATTAAGTATTGAATTTTTAAATTTTCAGAACTAAAAAAACTAAGAAATAAAGTTCGAAATAATTAAAAAAAAAATATTGTAGTAATAAAACTAATATTTAATAAAATGAGTAAAAAAGAAATTAAATTATAAGATAATACCCTCGTAATTATCATATTTTTTAAATTTTTTTACTATTATAATTTTGCCCTGTAGCCTTTCAATTGTACTAATTCACTGTAGAAACACGAAAATGTGCAATTAAAAAATAGGAAACCATTATAGTTGTACATTTTTAACTTCGTTTGTTTGATCAATAATCGTAAAAACAACAAGATTTCTTTTAAACGTGAAGTTATACTTACTCATTTGCTCGCATATTTATTTACAAATTAATGCATTGTAATTTTGTATAATTATTACAACATTAATAAAGAAAAATGGACAAACATAAAACAGAAACACATACATTTCAACAAATATTTCATTTCACCGAAGATAACATAGGGACAATATGCGCAAGTTTAGAAAATGGTATGTGACGTTGTGTAATATTATTAAAAATAAATCAATATAAACATAAATAATGATAAATATTTTATTGTCTAGTGATTTCGTATTAAAGCTATATGAGTACTACGAAATTTAAAAATTTGAGCTTCTTGTATAGACAAATTAAGGAATACAATAATAAAAGAAATTCACCTTTTTTTTTTTTTATTTCATAGTATCTATAGATTTAACCATAGGCGTAACTTGGAAATTTATTAGGGGGGCAAAAATATAATTAAATATCTAACAAATAGGGTGTCCGGGGCTAAACGCCGCTTACTACCTACATATTATTATATAAAATTATTCATTTTCTAACATTATGTTAGATAAGCGAAAATTTAAAATTAAGATTTAAAAAAAAATTGTATAGTAATAACTATAACCAGCTGTTTTGTATTTATTTTAAAACAAGGTATGTTAAATATCACAGGAGGCACTGCCCTTCCTAATTTATTATGGGAGGCAATTGCCCCTTCCTCCAGTTTACGCTTATAGCTTTAACCTAATATTATATGTATGTTATAATATATATAAATAATAGTAGTAACAATATCATATAAAGGAAATAATTGAGCAATATTTTAATACACAATTTCATACAGACATAAATATATAATAAAATAATATAGTAGTAGTAGTTGGCTATGTAGGTATTAAATAGTTCTATATATTCTTCATTATTTTTTAAAACACTGTATTGTACATTCGATTTTAATTACTAGACATTATATAAAGCATGTCATAATGATCAAAATAATATATTTTCTATAATGTAAATTCTATGCTGTAAATGGTAATATGATAAACTGTGTAAAATTTTTTCTTTTTTTTTAAAAAAAAATTAATATAACTTTATTTTTAGAACATTACAATCTATACAAGTGTAAAATAAGTAATAGTTATGGTAATAATGTGAAAAACAAGGAGTGAATATTTTCGTGGTAGGAACTTTCACATTACAGACACTTAAAGGCTTTATATTTACAATTATAATTTACACTTTATACAATTTTTGAGTCGCTACACCAGTTCCGCTTAATTCGCTTAGTTGGATTTCCGAGTAGTGTTGTAAGACTAGATTCCTGATGAGCTGATTTGGGTTGGAGTGAAGTTTTGCGTGGAAGCGTTTGTAGTAAAGAGTGGTAGTTTCGTTAACAGAATAGATTTTGAGGCCGGAGCTTATTATATTGTTGCAGACATACCAGGGCGCTCCAATAATTATACGATAGTAAATATTTTGAAAGGTTTGAATAGTTCTCTTGTTCGACATTTTAACAGAACCCCATATTACAGCTCCATATATCCAGAGTGATTTTAGGAGAGTTTAATATAGTATGATTTTAAGGGGTAAAACTAGGTTTGAGCGAAGAAGACATATCTTGGTAAATGAAATATTGAGTTGAGCTTTTTACATTTGCCCTTAAGATGAGATTACCATTTTAGGCGTCTGTCAAATATCAAACCAAAGATATTCCACTTCATTTGAGTGAGAAATAACTATATTGTTTATTGTTACAAAAGGGCAGTTATAGGGCCTGAGTATAAAGGAGTCTATATATTATACACAAATTACAAACATCAAAAAGTTGAAGTATAATGTCTATATATTAGTTTTATAATGAACCCTTTTAAATTTTAAAACTAAAATTTACATATAAAATACAACCTCCATTTTTAAATAATAAATGCCTATGTAATAATGTAGCAATAGTTTATACATTTAATAAATATTTAGTTGAACACAAAGCAGTTAGTACTAATCAATGAGTAAAGAATGTCAAATTCTAGTACCTAGTATATATTACCTAATATGTTATTTAATTAATAATATAGAGATAGAAAACTTGAAAGTGGTCAAAAGTGAAAGTCAATCTTTAAAGACACCTGAAGTTCAACATTTTAAATTTATTTTATATGAAACTGATACCATAACTCTTTTAGAGTTACCTTCCTTGGCACCGTTTATACAAAATATTTCAGATACGCAAGTTAAGGTTTGTATAAAATATTAAAATTAAAATTTATAAGAATTAAGTACACTAATACAATAAATTATATGGAAATAAATATATTTCTGTATGCAATAGCCATCTGAATTCTTAAGTATTGTTTAAATTCTAAATGTTCATCAATAATTCATAAAATAACTCCTGTTTAGTTGTAGGTTAGTTCTAGATACCTGTTCATTTTGATAAACATGGACTGACACGCTATAATCAAATTATTCATCATTGTTTTATTTGTAAATTATTAAGAAAAATATAATTAAGAGAAACTTTAGGAGTATCTTTATATTTTTGAAAAAATGTCATTTAAATAAATAAATAAATGATAAATTAATATTTTAATGTTTGATTATCCTAATTGTATGTATTTAATTTTAATGTTTTCTACAAATCGATGAATTTAAATTTAAAAAAAAATCTACATAGTTTATTTTCAACTGCGGGTATAATGATAATTTTCAATATGCTTATATTAAACACTATTATAAATGCAAATACTCGATAGATAAATATGTATTCTTATTAATCTTATACTACAAAAGTTATAAAATAACTATATACTCATAAATATAATAATTTCAGATTACAGAAAACAATAAATATGTATTGTCTGGTGCTGTACAAACTTCGAGATGGTTTCAAAGAACACAACACACACAAACTGATTCAATAATTTTAAAAGTAATTATTTTAAGTATTAACACGGACATATACAGTGTACGCCAATTTAAAAAATGTATGATTCTCGTTTCTGCCAATCTACTTACTATGGTAAAATAATAATAATATTATATTATTATAACAACCAAATGTAATGAATATAATTTAATATTAAATTCAAAAAGTATAGTTATTAACTTTGAATAGCGTTTCATAATGCTGCCAAATTAGTATGGTATAATTGTGCTATCACAGACTATAGATATTATTTAACTTAACTATAATATAAAAAAAATTCATGAACTTCGTTTAATTGTATCTTACAAACAAAATAACTGGTTAAAGCACACATTTGGATTGGTTTATTTAAAATTATTTAAAATTTATTTAAGATGTGTCTGATTGTTTTTTATTTAACTTAATGTCAAATATTCATATATATTTACAATAAACTGATTATTAATTAAAAACTTATATAAACGAAAATTTAAAATTTCCTCCAAAAATATGGACATGTATAACAAAAAATTTATTTCAAACTACTAACACTTGTGAACTGTTTATTCACACTTTAATTAACAGTTTAATAAATCACACCCAACTATAATTGCGTAATTAAGTACTACTTTATATTTACGTATATTACTAAAAATGTTCGTTGAAAATGTCCAGACGGACACGTACATTAAAATAAATAGCATTTATTTGAATATTTAAAATACACTAAAATAAAGTCCACTTTGATAAAATTTTCTAAGGCTAGTATAGCTGTAACTGATTTAAAAAATAAATATCGCGTTACTTGTATGTAGACTATTGCAGTTAATCATGTTGAATAAATTAAAAAAAATCATTTTTTAATTATTTTTATTATTATTACTATGAGATAATGTTATGTATATCTGAATTATTAATTTAATTTATCATTATATTTTATAAAAACTATGACAAAATAATTATTATTTTTATAGAAAATATTTTGAATAAACAGAAAACTTATTATTATTATAAATGACAAAATATAATTTTTTATATTCTTTACTTTAAAAATAATATGGATAATATTCTAATAATATGGAATATATTATAACAATCTTACCATATCGGGTAAATTAGTAGAAATGGGAATTATACCATTTTTATATTGACGGAAACGAGTTATTCCCGTTAACATGTAATTACATTTATTTTTTTAATATGATTTTAACGTTTAATCTGTAAAATTTTATTATTTAATAATAAAATTCCGAAAATAAGTTAAATATAAAAAATTTTCTTTAGGATCAGTCAAATGTTGCATCCATATGGATACTACAAAAAGAAATGGGTTGTAATACATTGGATTTAAGAAAAAAAGGTAAGGTAGGTATTTAATTAAAATAGATTAGGTTTACTTAAAAATCTATATAAGTATGGACACTCGTCCATTTCAGTAATATCATTATGTGTTTAATTATAATTATTTTATGTTTAGTCAGAAAGTAATTATTTATAAAATAGAGTTTTTCTTGTTTCACATTTTTATTGTACATAACAAAATAAGTTTTTACACATTTCTGTTATTGTAACACTTAAATATTATTTAATTATAATCAATAAAGTATGATTAAATACGTATTTAAGTTCTGAGTATTATCAAATTATCTAAAATATAATCATGTTAATAATAGTTTACATAGGTATCGATTAACATAAACATTATATTTACATAAACCTATGCTAGCATAAACAAGGCCTTAAGTGTAGCTATTATATTCTTTTATAATTATCCAATTTATGTAATTATTATCATAACTATTAGATATTTAATATTTTAGAAACGGAACTTAACAATTTCAAAAAAATTTTGTTTATAACTGATCGAATTGTGACTTCAAACAATTTTTCCAGAAAACAAATTGAATTTGTTACACAACATAAAAGTGACAGTATGTATACAGTACACTCTACATGTCTATTTCCAACGTATTCGTATTTAAATGTTAATCTCTATTCTTTGTACACACAAATATGAACTTTCAGAATTTAATGCGATGTCTTATCGTTATACATTAGAAGAAATATTGCAATTTTCAAATGATAAATTTATGAATTTTTCAATTACGTCACTTGTATGGAATAATACGAATGAAGTAAGTTTCATGATTAAAAATGTATTATGCCCCTTTAGCCACCAAAATCTCAACACACTTATGTATGTAAGTAACACAGTTTTTCCAATTTAAATAAAAATGTATACCAGAGTAATATCTATATTTTAATTATTACGTATATTCAGTAGGTATAACAAAACTACTATGGAATTAAAATTTGTTAATTGTTTTATTATTTTCTCCACATAAAAATCATTATAATGAGTGTATTGATATATCTAGTCTTATGTACTTTAACCTTAAATAACTACAGTATTTTTGTTTAAATATTAAATTGTCAGGATATTTTCGCCGTGGGATATAGTAAAAGAAATAGAGAATCACAAGATGCAGGCGCTGTATGTTGTTGGTCATTAAAGAATCCAGTGTATCCAGAAAAGATTTATGAATTCGACAAACCCATTTTATGCCTTGATTTTTCAAAAAGCAATGCTAACATTCTTATTGCTGGTAGTCATGAAGGATGTATTTATACAATAGACATCAGTCAAGAAATTTATGTTCCAGTTGTAATCAATAAGTAAAATTTATTTTTATTTTTATTCTATTAACTATATCAGTAAAGTATTTGGAGTTCAATTAGGGGGGGAGTGATTTAAAAATATTACGGGTATAAATACTATATTATTTTATTAGCTATAGGTATTATTCGCGATTAATTCAAAGGGCGATCCATCTATCCCCCTTCTTAACTATACCACTGAGTTATTCGACAATCAGTTGAAAATACTGTATTATTTAGATTTAAAATTAAATTTTTTGTATAAAAACGTAAGATATTTTGTGTACCGATTTATATTTACATGAAGTCAATGGTTAATTATAGGGAACATTTGCATAACTTTCCTGTGTGGAGTATTGTATCGTTTTTACAAAAAAGTTTTACTTCAGATGATGAATTTGTACTGTCCGTAGATGGTAATGGCTCAGTACGAAAGTGGTCCTTAATCTCTAAGAATTGTAACACTGGTAAAAATAAATAATATTATTCTTTCATTAAAAATGTAATAAATTGAAATTATCATATTATTGTATAGTTTTAATTTAAAATTTAACTATATCTATACAAAAAACAAATGTTTATTTTTATTTATTTCAGAACAAATGTCATTGATATATTGCGGAATTCGAAACGAAGTCAATACCGGAAAAACAAACAAGTTCAACTCAACGATAGTACAAAACATGCCCGGAACAGTCATATCGTTTCATCCGACCAATAAGAATACATATTTCATTGGTACAAAAATTGGTTTTGTTGTGCAGGTATTTTACTAGTATAAAGTGTCCGATGTAATAATCGGTAATTTTCACATTTTATTGAAATTCATGTTTTACATTTTTTTGATAGAAAAGATTTTGTTGTTCATTTTTGGATATTTCTAAGAATGGGATTTTTTTATGAAGGACACTTTAGATATTAATAATTCAGTTAATGGAATTTAAGCTAGTGAACAGAAAATTAAATTTTTTCAGTTAAAATAAAAATTCATGAAATAAATAAAATATTCAGGTTCGTTTAGATTATTCAATGGTAAACAAAGTTGACTTTAATTATACAGGTACCTATGGAAGTTTCAAAAATATCGAATCCGATAAAATCCCGTATCTAGTCGTATTATTTTGACAGACATATGACCCGCACCTCTTTCACATTGGCGGGCGGCGGAGGTGTTATGCGTCTGTTTAATTATTTGCTGTTTGACATTTATATAATTCTGACGAAATTAAAAATTATTTAAAAACCAGTCAACTACACCATTGAAATCTATCTAGATGGTCAAGTTTTTTTTATCGAAAATAATATTCATTAAATAAAAAAAACACAATGTATTGTTCGTGCCAATAGAAAAATGTATGCTAATTGCTAATTTTTATCTTTTATATTCGTGTTTCAAGTGCTTTAAGTTTCAATCCTTGCTTATTAATATTATTATCTTAATTATTTTAATTTCACATAAAAGAGTTATTTATTTTTACCTCAATAGGGATAAATTAGAGTAAAATTCAGAAATTAATACTTAGGTGTTTCATATGCAACCTTTAAAAATAAAAAAATTATCAGAAGAAATCAATAAAACATTTACTCTTTTTCACTTTCTTATGAGAGGATTGTGGTTAAATCCTATCTCATCTCACTTCTACGCTATTAGAGAAGAATACCATTAAAATGTCAAGTCTAGTTCTAGCAATTATATCTAGGTTTTGATGAATGGAAGAATGAATATATTGGGTATCTTCCTTTGTGTACATATATACTTATAGGCATGCGCTCAGGGCGTGCCGGGTGTGTCTGGACACTACTCAACAATTATATTCTATAGTTAATATGGTCAACATAAATATATGATAAATTTATATTGATAATAAATAATATATTTTTGTAATATCTTTATTAACAAGAATGAAGTAAGAATAATATCAACAAAATGGTTACATATACTTTTTTGAAGTGTTTGATACCTAATTAATTGATATAGGTAATAAAAAAAAACTAGTTGAAAGCAGTGCCGCAAAAACCGGGTGTGCAGAGTATGCTGTACACAAAGGGGCCGCCCCAAGGCTTACATACATTTGGGGGTCCCCTAGTCCCAGCCTAGAATAAACTACACTTTACAAACACACAATTATTCAATAATATTATATTATTATTTTATAATAAAAAGACACTTTTTAAAATTCAGGAAAGGATGTTATAATATTTTAGAGTAATATAATATTTATTTAACAATGAGTCCATTGAGTATTTGAGTAGGCATACAACATAACAACCTAAAATACTACAATAAATAAATGTACTACCTAAATATGTAGTGAAGTATAATATACAGCAATTGTAGGTATTTAATTTGATGTATATATGTTACATACAAAGTCCGGAATTGTAGATTTCGCAATTTGTACAAATCACAACATTTAAAAAAATATAAATTACAATTTTTCGTATAAAAAAATATTATTATAAATCTACATATACTTTATCATTATTTATTCTTACAATCAAGTGAATTATGACAGCATGAGTTGCATATTACATTTTTTTTACATATACATTTATTATTATAGTATTTACATGTACAAAAACATTTAAAAAAACCTTGCCCTTCAAACATTGATTCTTTTGAATTTGCAGCTCCTAGAGAAATGTTATCAGTAGATATATCATTTATATTTACCCCATCACAAGATGAAAATTGGTTACGAATAAATAGTTGTGCAATAATGCCATTTTTAGTACCAATTTTATACAAGTCGTCCGTCGTTACTTCCATTATAACACCTAATAAAATGAAAGTACATCACTTACTAATATGATTATTGTTTATAAATATAAAATAATGTATTACCTATGATATTTTTCGAATCTCCTTTACTTCTATCTTTATCTGATACAGGTAACGTTCCATTTGTACCGATTGAAACGACTGGATACTTCAAAAGTACTAGCAGTTTCCGTTCGTTTTGTTTGGCGATGTAATTAACTTACAGCTTACAGCTAGCTTTTTATTTTTATTTATTTTACCTTGCACAATGGTAATTTTTTCTAATACCGATTCATTTGCAATTGAGGCCTGCTCTAAAATATTATTTTCATTTAACTTCTGTTTCAGTTGGTTCATAATTAATTAGCTCTAATGAAGAAATTGTTTCTAAATCATTCTCAGAATTTAATGGTTTGAGTATATTCTCAGGTGGGGTAATCGAAGACCTTCACTCCATTTATTGAATTTATTGTCCGACATCCACGCCCTTAAAATATCTTGCACATCTCTGTTTGCTCTTTCAACACTTCCTTGATTCTAAGAGTGGCGAGGTTTCCCATGTACAATCTTAAGTTGTGGCCACATATTTTTTAATTCATCAATTATAAAATTAACGAACTCACGGCCGTTGTCTGACTGAAGAATTGAAGATGCTCCAAAAGTACAAAATATATCATTTAAATCAATTAATGCTATAATAATAAATGTAAATGGAAAAAAAATGTAATATGCAATTCACGCTGCCATAACTTACTTGATTGTAAGAATAAATAATGATAAAGTATATGTAATTAATTACCTATATTTGATTTTAGTAATATGTAGTTTTATAATAATATTTTTTTTATACGAAAAATTGTAATTTATATAATATGTTTTTAAATGTTGTGATTTGTACAATGGTTGTATACATTTCGCAATTTGTACAATGATTATTGTACACATCACGAATTGTATAATGAAATTGTACAATCTAGTTACTTTGTACAGCAACATTGTACAATTCGCAATGTGTGCAAAAATCACTGTACAAATTGCCAAATGTACAATTCCAAACTTTGTATGTAACATATATATCATACACTAACTGATGTGAAACGTGTTTTAAAACCTAAAAAAAATGTGTACTTATAAATAAGACGTATAACAATAATAAATCCTAGGAAGGAGCCTAATATAATTACCGTTCACGGGCCTCCTATTTTGTAGTAGTGGCACTGTTTGAAAGACACTGTATAGATTAATTATTATTTTGTATTTTCTAGTATTGAAAGGTAATATAAATTGATTTTTTTTTTTTTTTGGGGGAGGTTGTCCTCTTTCCATTCACCTAATAAGTTAATTTTTTTTGGGCACACCCCGAACTTAAAGTCCGTATACGCCATTGTATATACCTATAGATAAATATTGTATTTATTAATCCAGTACATGTACAAATGTTTTTAATATTTGTATTGTTTGAAAATATATTTTAATTTACATGGTTTGGTTTTATAAGAACACAATCGATAATTGCAACCATTATGACACAATTTTCATGGCTCACACTGGTCCAGTTTATGGAATTAAATTTTCTCCCTTCTGCTCAAGTATTTTCATTACCTATGGAGCTGATTGGAAAATCAAAATTTGGATAGAAAACATTGAATCACCACTGTTATCCTTGTCTTATTCTGTAAGTTTATCACGCATATCAATACTAAATATAATTGATTTCAAAATGTATTATTTATAAAAAATTTAAATGGTTACTAGAACGCTATAGACGACGCCGATTGGTCACCAATTAATTCCACGGTAATAGTCAGTGTCAGTGGAGCAATCATATGCATTTGGGATTTTGCAAGAAAGACCGTTGAGCCCGTAATGATGTTTACGTGTAAGACTGGTGTTCATTTCTCGTTGGTTAAATTTTCAAAGCATGGAAATGTTAGAACCATTAATTATATTTAATACCATCGTCTACATTCAATATGTATATTTTACAGAATATTATCACTGGCGATGTAAATGGACTAGTTAGATGTTTTCATATTAGCAGTATGCCATCTCCGTCATTTCTCTTGGTAATATTTATTATTAAATAAGATAATAAATAGTTAACGATTCAGGTCACATATTAAAACTTTTAAAATAGATAAAAATATGGTTAAATGTAAAATGGTTTTATTTTATTAAATATAAGATTTACTTATTATAAATTTCCTTTTTCAGAAAAATTCAATTTTAACAGCTCTAGAAAACATGATGTCTTCAAATCAAGAACTGGTCCGAATAATTAGAAAAAAATTGTTGAATAAATAATCAGTGTCGGGCAGAAGTGTTAAAATCAATCTGGTAATATAGTATAATTTTTGGATGATTTATATTAAATTAATATTAATTTCACCGTCCTGCGACTACTTTGCTGTTTTAACTTTTTGCACTTATATTTATAGATTTTGAAGCGCTGAATTCAAATCTGTAATCAATTTTTCTCTAACACGTCTAGTTTTTCTACAATTCGAATAATAAATATTGTCTCTTCTGTATAGTCATTAGTCATACAATAATGTGCGATATATTCGTCGAATTATTATTATTATAAACTGAATGTCGTCTACTTTACTGAAATTTTAATCTTATCTTTATTAAATTTTTTATCTTATAGTAGTTCAATTAAATATATTTTTAAACTCACACAATTTATGTTTATTCTCTATAGTTACGTTCATTTTAGTCTTCATAAAATATCCGAGTTGTACCTATATCACCTTTCTTAGAGTTTATTTGTGCGATTTTTGATTTTCAATTTTTTTTTTAGTATGACGTCTAAACCAATTAAAAGAAGATGTTGTAAAAACAACTCAAATTTATTTTGTTATATATGTGGTGAATATGTTATAATGAAACAACGAAATAACATTACAAATTTTGTTAAAAATGTATACCAAGAATATTTTGGTATTCATTTAGGCGATCAAAATAAATCTTGGGCACCCCATATTGCTTGCCGATCCTGTGTTGAAAGTTTGCGAAATTGGAAACAAGGTAAGCGTTTATCAATGCCTTTTGCAGTACCAATGGTTTGGCGAGAACCAAAAAATCATATTGATGATTGCTATTTTTGTATGGTTAATATTTCCGGTTATAATAAAAAAAAATAAATCGAATATAATTTACCCAAATTTACTTTCTGCTATACGACCAATACCACATGACCCTGAATTACCAGTGCCTGTACCATCCAAAGCTTTCGAAACTATTTTAAACCACGATACTTCTATAGATTCCGCTGGCAATTCTAGTAATAATGACGAAGACTTTCAACTTGACACCACAGATGCTCCACAACTTTTCAATCAATTTGAATTAAATGATTTAGTACGTGACTTAGCTCTTACTAAAGAGGCAGCTGAAATTTTGGGTTCGAGACTCAAAGAAAAAAATTTACTTGCAAAAGCTACTACTTTTTCTTGGTACAGGAATCGTGAAATGGAATTCAAACAATTTTTTTCAAAGGAAGGACCACTTGTATTTTGTAATAATATTTCTGGATTAATTAAACATTTTGGCAAATATTATGATGTGAATGAATGGAGGTTGTTTATAGATTCATCTAAAAGAAGTCTAAAAGGTGTTTTACTTCATAACGGAAACCAGTTAGCGTCTATTCCCATTGCACATTCTGTACATTTAAAAGAAACGTACGAAAACTTACATTTAATGTTAGAAAAAGTTCAATATCCACTACATAAGTGGATTGTTTGTGGTGACTTAAAAGTTTTGGGAATGTTATTAGGTCAACAAGGTGGCTTATATAACCTATAAGGTTATAGTATAGGTTAGTATAGGTTATAGTATAGGTAAATGTTATACTATCTTGTAAAAAAACTAGACGTGATAGAGACAAACTAATTTCAGATTTGAATTTTGCGCATTAAGATCTATAAGGATCAGGTATTATTATACAAACAACAAAAATAACAAAATATTTTGCAGGACGGTGTTTTTAGTCCATCAAAATTTGTTAAAATACTACAAATATTCGATAATATGTAAAATTAAGTTATAATAATATCCTTTTATTGTTATAAGTTAGTAATTAATTTCTAGGAAATAATGTTAACGGATAATAAGGGATAGAAAATATAAAATTACAGTGTTAATATGTCTAGTATAAATGTTAATAGCAAAACATATCCTATATCTTCTAATAAAAATTATATTTTAAATTCTTTAGCTAACCGTTATTTATAATTATTTATAATTGTTTTTTTCCTATTTACTCTTTTCACTTAAATATTTTCATTACGATGAGATATTTTTTCACATTGAAGATATATTATAGTTCATAACAGTGCATTTTTTTAACTAGTTAACTAGGCGACACATATGTCGTCCAGTGATTATACTCTGTCGACAGTATTTTAAAAGATTGGGCGAAATAATCCGAAATAAACGTGTAATACTATAATCGTACTATGGTATTATACATTGACTATTTTGAGAAAAATATTTTTTTGTCACCCAGTGAAAATTCCTTGGTTTACAACCCATTTATAATTTTGTAAAAGGTTTCATGGCCATATATTTAATTAAATTAAATAAAAATATACAAAATAATCTAGATAATTGATCTAAATAAATTCGAATACTGCATACAATGAGCATTTGAATAATACATTTTGACAAAACGAAAAAAAAATTATCCGTTATATTTTTGTAATTAAATTTCCATTGAATGTTTAACTTTTATACCTAAAGCTTGAAAATTAAATTTAGATTATTTAAAAAAAAAATTTATATTTTTACTAGAAAGTCGCAATATATGTGTAATAAAATAAAATGTTTCTTAAATCAGATATTTCAATAAATATCAATCATGTGATAATAGTTATTTGATTGTTATTCTATTCCAGTGGTTTTCAACCTTTGTCGGATTGCGACCCTTATTTTTATTTTTTTGTAATGCCTTTAAAAAAAAAAAAATTGTTTTATTAATCAAAATTTGATTTAATTACTGATGAAATATTTACTTGATTTTTAAAATGATTTAAAATGAAAATTAAACAATTTTGATTAATTTACACTTAACAATTTTACAAAATAAATAATTTTTAAATATTTTTTAATATGAAAAAATCATTTCATCCAGAATTTTTGGCGATCCCCAGGTTGAAAACCACTGTTCTATTCAATATAATAATCGCAAAAACTCGAAACTTTGACTGAGTACTTAAATATAATTATTATATTATATAATAATATATTAATATTATATAAATATATTATTAATAATAATATAATATATTATAAGTTATTATTTTATTATATTTTAATGTGATTTACTAACCTACCTAGATGTCTTACTTTTGCCAGTTAGAATATTAAAAGTTAATACTACCTTACTGAGAAAGTTGGTTAGGTTAGAATATAAAAGGATCCACCAGAATTACTAATCGTTTTTTTTGGAAGGAGTGGTACATTGGTTTCAAGTATAAAATACCAATACAATAATATTATTCACTTGTTTCTATATCTTAGCTGACCTTGGAGTTAAAAGACTTAAAAGTTTCACCCTTTTGATTATTTAGTCTTTGTAGGAATAAATATAAAAATAAATAAAAAGTGTAAAAATAAATCATGTTTGACTCAATTTCAAGCTATTCGTCATTGGTGGGTGTTGTTAAAATGACACTAATTATATTCTAATAATTTAAAGTCAATGGTTTGGAATACTTAACACAATGTAATATAAGATTAGCCACAGTTTCAAAACAAATTTGTTCTTGGTAGATATTTTTACTTGTTTTACTTTGCAATGTAAGAACTCGTATAACTCATATAAAACATTTTTATCATGCTCTTGGACACTATCCTACTGAATTTTGGCAACATAATACTTAAATCTTAATCTAGACCTGCAAATTTTAACCATGATGTCTGGACTGTAACTGCTTTTTTTGCTATACTCATCATACTTTATAATACAATGCCTATATTGGTTGATAGGGATAAGATTTAACTTTCAGCTGCAGTTGACTATCCAGACTAAAATACACTTAATTTTGGGGACTATACACTTTTTAGTTATGTTGTTAGTGTTGACAGCTCAAAATAACAGCTTTCTTTTTAATACCATTTACTTCTATAATCAAAAAATAAACAAACAATAATATAAAACTTAAAAAATTATTACCATATAATTTATTTTCTGCAGAAAAGATGTTACACCAATTTTGTATGTCTGTATGTAAATAAAAACAATATTATCAAATAATTTTAAACATTTGTATTATTTATTGTAAACAAAATATTCGTGTTTAAATAATTAAAATATTGTTATTATAAATGAGTATACTATGATTTAAAAAAGAAATTATATAACAATAACATAAAAATATCATTAAAATGAACTGTATGATTTTTAATTTTATTCTATCAGTAACATACTATAGTAGATATTGCATTATTTATTTTATAATAATAATAATAAAAAAAAATTGGGAATGACCTTAAGGTAAATTATTTACAAAATAAATAAATCAAAAAAATTAAGCTCTATTGTACTTTCCCCAAATATGTAACATGAACACGGATGCGATGAACAACAAAGACATTACTAATACTGGCACAGGACCTCTAAAAAATAAATTAAAACTGGTTAGTATAATTTTAAATTGAAGCATTATTCAAATATTATTAACAATAAATTAATTAATAAATTTGACTGTTCAAAGTTCATAAATTGGATCTAACTTCAGAGTTTAGTTCAGATTTTATAGATGAACTTTAATCATAAATAACTAAATCAAATCACAGTTAAAAGTTTGAACTTCAATTGAAAATTCAATCTTATGTTTATATAACATTGCATAACATACAAAAATATAAAATCTCAATTTATTACAATAACCTACAAACAGTGAATTTTTTAATTGGTTTAATAATAATTAAGAACTTGACTTTCATCATTATTAGATGTTAAGTAACTATATTTTATATACAATAAAATTTTATTTTTATTTGTAAAAAAAAAATTGAATTAATTATAAGTAAAGATCGGATATTATTGCATTAAAAATATCTTAAAATTGCACTAAAAAAATGTCAAAATTATAATGGAGATGTATCAAAATTGCAGTATAAAAATGTTAAAATTGCAATGAAATACATTAAAATTGCATAGTAAAATCATATCAAATATATAATCATTAATTACTTACTTAAATAATATTATGGATATTAATATAATATTCACAAAATATATAATTTTTCTGAATTAAAATTTATAATTATATACATCTCTAAATTGTGTTCTTGAAAATTGTATCGTCTTTTACTTAAAATATGTTTATATAATTGAAAAGTACGTTCAACATCGACACTTGTTATCAATGCATATTTAAAATAGTTTAAAAAATGGGTGTTTTATCTAAATAAACATTTTGATTTCCTGTTATAATCGCAGAGTAAGTTTTAATAGTTTTATATCCTTAATTTTTTTCTAAGATTTATTTTAATTTATCTTTAACAATTTTTCCATTAGGATAGGGAATATTTATACTTAATATTTTTATTTAGTTATTATTTGTTTAGTATTTATTTATTTAGTTATTATACTAAATATGTTTTAACTATTAATTGACTATTTGATTCTTCTAAACTTGTGAGTTTTGTGAATAACCCAGATAAATGTAATTTTAAAAATCCTAAATTATATTTAACTACATGTAAAAATTTACTTCATAGTTATATATTTTTTGTAAAATCATTTTGGAAATAATAATTTGTATATTTTATCACGTGAAGTATACAAAAATTGCAATAATTGCAAAAAAATTGCATAATTAAATTAAATAGAAAGACTGTAATTAATCTGATTCATATACATATTTGATCAGATTTGATTTACTGGATATCAATAAAAAGTTGCAATTCAATTAAATCCGCTCTTTAATTATAAATAACATTTAGTATGTTTTAATAAGTTAAAAATAAAAAATAAACAAATACCTACAATAATTTAAATTAATATCGTTAAATATAGTAACAAAAATAAGATTTCTAATTAATTTTAGCTTTTTAAATCTCAAATATACTATTATTTGATTAATTTAATTTACTTAAAAGACTTTAGTTCACTTTGTGTTCAGTTGAACATCTAACAATTTAATTCAAATTCAGTTGTCTAGTTCAATATTCAAAGAATAGTTTTGTTATAATTTTAAAATTAGATGTCTTATTTGGCTTCAGAACACCAATAAAATTGTTTGATTTTGTTTAATTACTGAGTTCAAGATTTGAGTTTAGCCTGCCTCTTAAAATTATATTTGTTAAGTATGGTAAAATATTAATTCCAATGATTTATTATTAATGAAAACACTTACACTTTGATTCCAGGTGAGTCATCAGTGTAAAAACGCCACATACCACCACTGCTAGTTCCAGTATTACGATTTCTTACCGAAGTAGTAGGTGCAACAGTTTTCCTAAAATATGAATTAAGTCACTGAAATATAACTCATATTTTATTGTAATAAAAAAAACAGAATATGTAACCAAATATTTGTCGGGTGAAAATGTTTACTATTTCATTTTAAAAACAATTTGTAACAATATTTTAACTAAAATTTGAGTGTCGCAACTATTAATAGTAATTAACTGTATATTTTTAGTATGTCTAAAATTTCCACATTAAATGACATAATAAGTTATAGAAGCAAAATTTCAATAATCATGTTAACTACATCATATGGAGTGATTGGATTCTAAGTAAATTCTTAAACTCATTGACAAAAATTGAATAAATAAAAATTCAAGACTTCCAAATTATTAACAAATAAAGTATTTATTTATAAAGTTTGTAAATATATTATAATTTTTAGATTATGTAATAGAGTAAGTTTGAATGGTTTAAGGTGCAATAAAATCCTATTCCAAATTATAAAATTATTTTATAAATATAATAATCAATTACCTTTGTCTGAGGACATTTCCAGCTGTCCTGGACGCTCCTGGTTTAGATGGTGACCTGGGGCCACTGTTGGCTGATTGCATAGCACTTGGATTTACAGGCTACAAGAGTAAATTTAATTTAATTATGTAGGTATACTATTTTCATAAAAATATTAAGTATTTTGTATTATTAGGAACACAATAATATAATAAATTATAATAAAAAAAGTAATTTTTAGAAGTAAATATTTACTATGAGAGATAAATTTGTCTGACTCAAATGATTTTTAAAATTAATATAAAAACTGTTAAAAAATTTTTTTATTTGTTTTTGAGTATCTCTATAATTATCTTTTATTAGTTACTCTGGTTACTCATTGTTAGGACTCTAAATTCATCCAATAAATATGCATAAATAAGTATATAATCTGACGAAAAATGAAATTGAAATATTATGTATTTATATTTATTATAGTTCTAAAAATATGTGCAACAAAAAAAAAAAAAAAAAATCATAGACAAATTTTGAAATAAGAAACATCCTTTCTTATTTTTAGTAGTGTTATTTAATTTCTTTGGATTTCTATAATTTATAACATGAAGTAAGAAATTAATTCACCTTGTAAAATTCAAAGCTTTGTCATTTTATATGTTTAATTTTTTTTCCAATAATTTTATACTTATATTGAATTAATAGGAAATAATATGTGACAATATCTTGAAAAAACCAACCATAATAAGGCTTTATTAATCCAAACGATGTAGTAATCCTAAAAGACTTATTATCATTATTATTATTGTTATTATCATAACATTATATTTAGAGACATCATTTTTCATAGACCCATACAATAATAGTCATTAAAATAATTACGAAAGCACATCACACATGTACGTTAGTGCAACAAAACAATTGATCAGCTTAAGAGAACAAGTATTAAAAATAATCTTTATATTTAAATTTTAGAAAATTGGTTGAAATAGACATAAGTAATCTAAAACAATATTGTACAGTTTAATGAGACTCAACTATATAAGCTAAATATGACTATATCATACAATTTTATAATCATTGATATAAAATTGATTTGTACCTTAATACAAAATTTTCTATATAGCAAACATGTACCTAAATGCATAAACTTAAAAGCTTAGTTCTTTATAATTAAGTTTATAAAGAGTTACTATATATTCCACAAAAACTTGAATATAAGTAGCATAAAAAACATTTGAATTTGAGTTTATTTAAATATGATTTTTTCATTATTAAAAATATATATACATTTTAATACAAAGATCTGTAATTAGTTATTGACCAAGTTTGAGAAAAATAAGAATACAACAGTAGGATGTAAACAGAATTATAATGGAGTAAAGAAACAATTGATGAATTTCTGTACTATTTAGTATTAATATCTCTACAGCAAATTAAGACAGGACTGAAACAAATTATCATGGTTTTAGTAACGCTAAAGGTTGACTGTCTTGAAACCGTTAGATTTAGATTGTTTAGATACAGATGATTTAGCCGATGATTCTGATTTTGTTCAGCCTAATATACAAGAACAATGTGAAAGTGAGTCTGATTTTTCTGATACAGAATTTATCGCAAATAAAACATTGAATACGCGTAATAGACCAAGTACATCTCATAGATCTCGTTCTAGAAGCCCTTTGTCAGATAGAACTTCTCAACCCAACTATTATTTAGGTAAGGATAATATTACGAAGTGGAATATTGACGGTTCACCTTTGAATGTACGTACCCGCTCACATAATATAATTTTACATTTGCCTGGGGTAAAGCGGTATGCAAAAGACGCTAAGTCTATAGTTGATTGTTGGAATTTGTTTTTTACCGATACGGTTATAGAAGAAATTGTAAATTGTACAAATATTTATTTAGTTAAAATCAGAATCAATTATCGGAGAGAAAAATATATTATTATTTTTAATCATTATAAGAAATAAAAGTAATATTTAAATGCATTATTTTTGTTTCACCTACAACCACAAACTTGAATCTAAGATCTTAAACTTATTCTAATGAAAATCGAATGCGAAATCGACAAAATAGGTATAAAGAGCGCTCACACGCGACTAACGGGTGTTATAAAAATCATCGCGACTACTGACGGGTTAATAGGATTTTGAAATGCGATAATTTATCATCATAGATCCAACAAAATTAGCTACGTACTTATGTTTGTCAATAATACTACATAACCTACTTACAAAAACAGAAAAAAGTGAAGTTTGATATTTTTTTTTATTACGTTTTCTTCGATATCGCATATTATATTATGTACACGACATTTTCATAGAAAAATAAAACAAAATAAATTGGAAAACTTACCATTTTTGTCAATTGGATTATGAGACGGAAACTTAAGCTACAGACAGCAAACAGTGATGAAAGTAGTGTACGTGTAGACGAGTCTCGAACGAAACGATAAAATGATTCGGTGTCGAACAGACAGGTGAACGGGTACGTGTATAGAGAACAGACGAGAAGTATACACGTTGTCAGTTGGTTGTCACGAGTGCAGTAGATAACATTGTTCGTTGGCGTTTGTTGGAGTCATGGAACCGAAAGTAATCAAGAACTCGTGGAAACTGATAAACTGCTGATAAACGCGGAGCGACCCGCGACCCTCACTAACGGAACCAGGCGAGCCAAATCGGCGTATTTTTGTTACTATGTATTACTTTTATTTATTCATTTTTAAAAGACGTATTCGTTGGATAGGCCAGTGATGGTGGTATAAAAATGATGAAGGGTATATTGCCAAGTAGTTACGTGTGAATTATTAGTTTATTGTAACATGTAATTATAGCCTACAGGCAATAGGGAAGACTTGTATTAGACAGGAAATCGTTAGGGTTGATATTTTTTTTTTGACTTGTGGGAAACACGATTTTTTGAAATGTGATTTTGTGAAAAAAAAAATCGGGATATTAACGTCCCGCTTTATTGTTAACACGGCGTACGCGTCTCACTAAGAATTGAAGCAGGACGCGAGACAAGTATATTAAAAATCGGGACATACCCAACCCTAGAAATCGAGTTTTGTAATTTGTCCAAATATATTAAATTTTGTGTAATTTTAAACTAGATAAAACATAAATAAAAATGTTTTTTGTTTGTATATTTATTCGTGTTTTATTTTTTTACTAAATCAACTGTTCAGTTCAAAACTAATAACTCGAAAACTCATTAGGTTATACATGAGTTGCTTGTAATTTTTTTTTTTTTTAATTTGCCTTTGTTCGGATATTACAGCACGCTTGTAAATTTAAAATACTATTATTTAATGAAAAATTACGATGAAGTCGTGGAGTTAAGTTTTTATAAACATAGCCCAAAAACATTGTAATAATTACTCAAGTTGACAGTTTTAAATTAATGCGTCTATGTATATCGTGTAAATATTATATTTGTTAATGTATATTTTATGATGTATAATTAAAAAAAAATTACCATTTTCAGTAAACATAAATTAAATGTACAAATTTCAAAGTGAATCTTGTTAAGCGAAAAATTATTTGTAGTATTAAAACAATATATAGATGATAACTTGTGTGTTTTCCTCTTCAAGCTATAACACTGATTGTATCTATCCTAAATTCTCTCATCAAAATTCTTAATACTTTTAATCTTTTTTATATTATATATGTTTTAACTCTAAGGACAGATCATAGCCAAGGTAAACAGCCAAATATAAATATAATGATAGTGTAAGTTATAAGACGTATGATTACATAACATTTATTACGGAAAAAAATTTTCTTAAGTAATTGAAGACATGTGCGATTGGCACTAAACAATTAAAGTAAGACATATATATATATACTATGGTTATAATAAAATAGGATGGAATTAAGGAATTAAAGACAAAAAATCCTAGAACAAAAAATTTAAAATTTATTTAAGAGTTCATCATATAATACAATAATTGTAGAGCAGTCTATCTGTACCTAATGTTTTATGACAATTTTTTGCTCGGGCCTAATTATTTTTATTTATTAAGCAAGTTAATATACATTATAATATACAGGTTGTATACATTATTTGAACAAAATGTTCAATCTTAAGTGATTATTACCTACCTAGTGTTATCATGGCATCACAAGAGTAGCATTTCAATGATTTTTTTATTATTAATTAATATATATACATATTATTAACAGTCATTACACCTACTTACATTTACATATTAAAACTTATAAGGATTATATGAATAAAAATGTTTTATTTTATATACTATATATGTTATTTAAATATAAAATGATGTAACAAATGTCTGAATATTTACACTGTGTCATATAGGCAACCCGAATGTTGGGCAGTTCGTTTAAATAAAAGTTGTTTCTCTCTCTATGAAATTTAAGTTAAGTTTAAGTATTAAGTATAATGTTTTCTTTTTTTAATTAAACAAAATCAATCATCGATATGGATATTTTGTCATTTAATTTATTATACTTGGATGTTTTGATAGAATATTAGTGAAGGATATTAAGTATATAAATTACAGTAATCCACTTTTTTAGTGCAATAATAATAAATAAAGAATTTATTAATTTAGTTTGATTTGGAAGAAAGAAAATTATAAGTTATATTTGTATTTATTTTTTCTGAAAATTAGTTAAATAATGCAAGATAATCTAAACAGAAATAAATCTTAAACAAACATACTCGATAGTTACTCTGAATAATAATTTATGACTGCTTGATACATAAAAATGTTTAATATATTATAATTATTTTAGGAAATATAGTTTAATTAATATTTTGATATTTTTGAAATTTATTTTTATTTAATTATTACTCTACAAAAATGTAAATGTAAATTTTTTGTAAATATAATTATTTAAATAGTTCTAATAATTTAATTTATATTTATATTTTGAGAACTTAAAAACATTACTTTTTATATTAATCCAATCCTGATATTAATGAGTAAATTGATATAAATAAATTATTATTAAAAAAAAAAAAACATAAAAACTTACTGATATAGGGATATAGGTACCTATATTTCTTAAAATACAAATTGTATATAACATAAAAATATCAAGTCATACAAGTAAAGGTAATGAATAGATTTATAATTTTTTTGCTCCTAGTTTTAAAGTCTGTTTACTATTACGTTTTAGCTCTAATTGCTTTATTCGTTCTAGTTTTCTTTCTTCTCGTTTTTTACGCATTTCTTCTTTTAACGCATCAGCTTCTACTTCTGTAAAATAATAAAATGTACAAAGAAATATTATATAATATAAAATATATACTTTTAGCAATATCACAAGAATCATCCAATAATATAGGTTCTTGATCTTCCCAACCAAAATCAGTTTTTTCTTTTTCTGAATTCTAAACAATAAATATTACATAAAATATAAAGAGTTGTACATCATTTTTGAAATAAAACTAATTTGCACTTCTTACATCAATGCTTTCCCAGTCATCTCCAACATTCCATCCTGAATTATCATCCCAGTCTTTAGATATTATAGACTCATCTATGACATGTTTGTAATTTTGAGTGTTCTAAAAGTATATTTAATAAATAATATAATATTTTAACATAAATTGATCATATAGTTAAATATATATAATTATATTAATTAAAAGATTCTTTAAATTATTCAGTTTTTTAATAAGTAATTTTAAGTTTACAAAAATGCAAACATTTTTTATTTCATAAAATAATTGTTAATATAATATAAATTGCTAAATAATAAGTAATATTTTAAGAAAAAAATAAAATAAATGAAACTGCGATGGAATAAGTATTTTGTGTACAAAAACAATATATTTAAATTTACTCTTATTATTTTAATATTAAATTATTATTGTAGAACATTAAAATATGGAATTATAATAAACAAAATGATTAGTTCTAATATTTGAAATTAAATATAACTATTATTAAAATTTATAATATTACCTGAGAATAATTTACATTTGTTTAAACTATATTAAAATACAAATAACTATTTTAATACTATGATAACTGTATAGATTATATTAATTAAATGTTCATATAATATGTATTTAATTTTTATCAAAATATCTAGTGGGTACAGTAAATTATTTGAATCAATTTTGATACATAATAAATATAAAAAAATAAGTCTATGTTAATATGTTATAATTTTATTTAAAAATAAATAAATCAAAAAATGAGTTTTAAATTCTTAAAATTAAGTTTTAAACCAAGAAAAGCAAGAACCTGAAGAATATCCTCATCATCCAATTGTTTTTGCTTGTAAATATTTTGTGGAGTATTATCATTGGTTTTCAGTGAACTATTTTTCATTTTATCAAAGTTAACAATCTTATTGTTTGTGTTGTCTAAAAATAAATATACACATTTTATAACACAATAATAAAATTTAATGCCACATTTTTATTCTTAGATATGTATATATGTATATATATATATATATAAAACAATGAATGTTTTTTACCTTTTGATAGCTCAGTTGGATTTATATCTTTTTGTAAGTTTTTGGACGAATAGAACTTGGAAGTTACATTAGTTAGAGCCCATCCAGCCCATGTGGGTATGGATGGACTAGAAGTATTAGCAACTTCTTCTTCTAATGTACACAATAAATTAATGTTTTTAAACTTTAAATTATAAATTATTTAATAGTAATATTTTTCAATAATATATACCTATTTTTTCTTTTAATCTTGCATCTTCAGATACATTTTCAAGCTTTCCTAAAAAACCTTTAATTGTTTGAAAAGTTATATCTCGTACTCCTTTTTCAGGATCAAGAGTTACTTGACATAATGCTGGCAAAACTCGGGATGATACTTCAAGCAAAGGATAATATTGTTGAGTTGCTGAAAATGCAGATACACCTAACAAAATATTTTAAAAATTTTTTTATATAAAACTATAGTTAAATAATTAAATTTAGACTAGCAGAACCTGCCATTCTTGATGGTGGAAATGGATCTTTGAGTGCGCGGCCAAAAGCTGATGATAATATTTTACTTCTATTTTTTGGGTCTAAATATTGAGCAATTTTACCCAAACATACAGTGGTATTGGTCCTTATACTACCCTGTATTTCAAATAATAGATACGTATATAAATATGTAAATTTAAAAAATTGCTTAGTTTTACCTGATCATCTTTCATTTGTAAGCGAGCAAAATGTCTCATTAATTCCACATTTAAATTATTATAATTCAATTTTGAACTTATATATACCATGCTCTAAAAAAAAAAAAAAAAGTTATTTGTTAACTTAAATATTTTATTAATAACTTACTCGAACAGTTAATTCTCTTATAGTAGGACTTGCATCTGCTAGACCGCTTACTAACAGTGGAAATATACTTGTATTTAATAAATCTGGTTTTAACCGATCTATAAAATAATAAAAATATGATAACAGTTAATTGAATATAGAATTATAAAATCAGTGCTTCTTATTAATGTACAATATTAAGATATTTATTCTGGAAAAAAAAAAATATAATACATTTTTTTAAATAAAATCATATTATTGCTACCATTATCATGTAAATAGTATACCACAAGTGTTTTGACTTGCAATAACACTGCATTATAGATTATCTTATTGACTTAACTTGTTATCAGTCAGTTATTCTACAGTCTCTATGTAGTATTATAGTTCAATAATCATTAGCTCGAATAATTCTAAAATATACAGTAAAAATTATTTATTATTATGATGTTATTATGTTAGGGCAATGCAGTATTTGATTTTATTGGTTAAAGGTAACATGAACCAAAAAAAACGTTGAGAACTTCTACCTTAGAGTCAATTCAAATTTTTATCAAAATGACTAGTATATAGTAGCAATTTTATTTACTATACAACTGTAGTAGTTTGTCTGGTAATTTATGGTTTTTAATTTCAGTGATCTATTATTAGTATTAATGTACGAAAATATGTATAATTGGCATTCATTATTTTAGTTACATTCAGTTAGCACTAATCTTTTTTTTTCATAAATAATTTAATAACATAACATATACTTATTTACAATAAATTACTCAATTCTTAATTTAATACTAAAGCTAAATTTATTAGTACTATACATACTTGAATATAATTCAATTTGATTAAGTAATAACAATCTTGTTGCCCGATCATTAGATTCAAACAGTTTTACAATACAAGGTACTATCTTTTCTTCAAATTCTTGGTCATCTAACATAGTACTTAACTAATATGAAATAGAAACATCAATTCAATGAATGAATAAAAATATTTCATTTTTATTACAAAGAAAAAAAATAATAATAATACCTTTATCATTGATGGAAATATGACTTTTTGTTCTTTAACATAACTAAACATTTCAAGAAGGCTAGGTAATACATTGTATTGAGCTATATTTTTGGGAAATGTTTCAAGTAAATTTGGCAATTTTTCTAAAAACGTTGTTCTTTGGAGATCATCTAATAAATGATATTGACTCAATGCTGTCATAGTTTTTTCCAAATCATTACCAAAATATCCTTGTTCTCTTAAACTCAAAGTAATGGTATCATATGATGGACGAGTCATAGGATCTGCAGCAATTAACTTTGGATATACTTTCAAAAGCTCCTTAGGAATCTATTTAAAATATGTAGCCGGTTTTTAATTTTTGTATACTTGAAACATATAATTAAGTATTCTTACTTTTTTAACATCTTTTAATGCTGATTGATGACTTAATGGGCCATTAAATACTTCCCAAATAAGTACTCCTAGTCCCCAAATATCAATGGAACTACACAAATGTTAATTTTTTTACTTTATAAGTATATAACATTAGCAAAGAAATAATTGTACAAATAAAATCACTAATTTTTCTTACAATGGTGATTGTTGATGTACTGTAGTACGATATAAATCATTATCATAAGAAGGAGGAGGATTGTTAACATTGTTCATGTATTCTAATTCACCTAGTTTCCATTTTCCAGCTTTATTTACGAACACTGACCAAATGCAAACTTTATTATGACATAGTTTTGCTTCAACATTTAAAAACCTTAATCCTTCCTGAAAATCAGATATTTAAGATTATGAACTACTATTTACTAGTACTTACTATATTTTAGATAATATTAACAATTCACTCACTATTATATTTGATATTCCCCAAGCAATATATTGTTTCATGATTGTGGTATTAAGATCATTTTGAGATGACAAAAAGGATTGAAGTGGTTCAACATACTCAGTAGATAAATAAATTGTAGTTTTAATCTAAAAATAAATTCAATGTTTTAATAAGTACATTTTAATCAAAACCCATAAAATATAACAATATTTTTTAGTAAGGTAACACATTTTGTTTTACTTCTGAGCTTTCTAAATAAGTGAGAAAATTTGGATGTTTTAAAGTTTTCAAATGTTTTATTGCACATTTAGCAGATGCTGAACGGACTTTACCACCAGGAATTTCATCATTTATTATGAATTCAAAAATTGAAACATCTTGATTAGTATTCTATAAAAAAATATGTAATAATTACTTGTTATATATAATTTATACATTTATCAATTAAAGTATTTATATTATTAAACAAAAACTAAAATTGACTATAATGGAATATTGAAAAATACATAAAAATTACAGAATAAAATAAAAAGGATACTAAAAAATTATGTAACCTTATTATGAGTTTTTATTTTTTATTTACATCTCATATTATTATTGAGCATAAAGACTAGGAGTTTGGATAAATATTACTAATCATACACTTTCTCATTAACGTCAAGATATTCGAGATCGAACAATCAAAAGAGAAAAAGAATACTTTATAATTAGAGCTGGGAATTGAGTGCCCTAAATAACCTCAAAAAATGCCCTTAAAAAAACGTAATTCTTGAAAAATATAAAAATGCGAAACTAATAGTAAATCTCAAAAAATACATTAGAAAATTAATTAAAATTAATTAAAAACTAAACTAAAAAAAAAATTAATTCACATGGCGGTTACGACGAAAAAAACTTGTACTAAATGATATCAATAGATGTTAATTTTACTGATTCTAAATAGTCGATAAATGATTTTTAATATATCATGTATACTATCATAGATAAAGCCAGTTGTATCTAGGTTTTGACGTTAACTATTGTCCAATAATATAATATAAATTATGTGTACCTAATGTATAATTTGTTACATTTGTATAAAAATCATATTGGTATGTATAAATCTTAAAACAAATTTTCAAATTCTGATTTAGAATTTAAAATTTCAAAAAATGCATTAAAATGCTTTAAAAAATAAATAAAAATAAATTAAATTACCTAAAAATCCAAAATTATTAAAAAAATGCAAAATAAAATTCCTAATACTCATTCAAAATTACAAGAAAGAAATTTGTGATAGTACGAGCATCGCACAGTAAGCTATGGAAAAAAAATGCAAAGTATATTGAAACTTCAGCCCTACTAATAATATTTTCAACATCTAACTTACATATATTATTGATTTAAATATCAAATAAACTATGAATTGTTTTAACTTTTATTAATATTAAACTTCAGCACTTTAGAGCATAATAATAATATAAGCGTTATATTATAGAGTAACATTATTATATCGGATATTATATTGAAAGACATAATTTTCAAGCAGTTGAATGAATGTAATAAAAAATTAAACTGATACGAATTTAAATAAAGGCTCTCTTTAAAAGAGCATAATTTAGTAAATCAGAACTAAATAAGAATATATAGGTATACCAATTATTCCAGTAATTAACTAGCTAAATATTTACTTAATCAACAAATAAATGTAAATTATGATTTTTCTAGTAACTCTAAATTCCTTTTATTGATAATGGTGAAAAATTACTTATTAATAAATGATTAGCAAGAAAATTTAATTAACACTATAACTTAAATTACCTTTTTCTTCCCTTTGTTTAATTTCCATAAACTCTTGTCATTAAACTCATAATTTGGACATTCAGTAATCTCAAATGGAAAGTCTTTCGACGAGTCTCTTGAAAATATAGTCCACATAATTATTAGAGATCTTACTATGGTATTTTAAATTTAATTACATCAAATTTAACATAGTTTTTCCAGATTTAACACTTTGAAAATTTGTAAATCAAAAAGCATTCCTTTTATTATGGTACTGGAGAACATCAAATCAATAGTAATAATTCGTCGTATTTTAATTTAGTATATACAACAAGTTACTACGTGATTTAGTGTTATCATAGAATAATATTGAAATATGATAGTATTGTTGATAACAATTCGAAAACTTTAATATCAGTTCTATTCTTGATAATATTTATAATAATAGATTATAATTATAAAATCAATAGTATGTGTATAATACGCAATGTACCGTGTACACATATAATTCGTTATTCTGTAATATAACCTTATAGATTGTGCTCGATTTTTTTTGGGGGGGGGGGGGGGGGGGGGGGGGGGGGGTGCGCAGGGGGACGGAGCTCCTCTATTTTTTTTTTGCGTACCCCAACTATATTTTTTCTCCGGAACTGGGGGACGTCACGTTCATCCTAATTGATGTCCAAAATAATTTTTATGTGAATTTCAATTTACGTCAATTTGAAAACGAATTTGACGATTTATAATATCAAAACTATTTTCATAATTAAAGATTATATGGTGGTTATGATAAGGGACAACGTCGTCACTTCTGGAAAAATATAAATAGCAATGTCTGTGAATTTTGTGTGTTATACTTTATACATTGTACGGTTTGTTATTAATATCGACGATATCGGCATTTCGGAAAAAAATAAATGCCCGCACCACGACTAATCTTCGGCCGTGGCCCGCACTAAATAATAAAAACAAATAAAAACAAAAAACAAATATATGATTATATCATTTGTCGCGTCCCACGTAGTCACATAATAGAAAACACACATTATAAGAAGTTCTCATGAATATCGAAACCAGACGCGTGAATAAGTTCACATGGTTATCTGTTTAAGTAAGAATATGAACATCGGAGTCACACACACGTGGGTGGTTAACCACATCCTGGATCTTGCATTAAGTATGGGCTGGTCAAGAGATAATACACGCATACAGAATCAATAAAGAATTATCATATTTTAGAGCGCACACACAGAATCAATAACGACTCATCACATTTATCATATTATATTATCATTTTTCATTTACACACACTCATTTAAGATTTACACACACACATGCAGATATCAGATATAAAAAGGGGTCTCGAACAGGCTCTATTCAGACGAGTTTTGGCTATGCTGCACGTCAGTGTATGTCATGGTTCGAACTTGGAATTATTTCACATTATTTTTATAAGTAAACTTTAACTGATTGTTAGGATTTAGATAATTTCTACAAATTGTTGTTTGGACTTAGAATATTTACGAAATTGTAGTTAGAATAATTTTATGAGTTTAAATAAATTAAATTATTATAAAAAGTCTTGATTATTCTTTACTACACCTACAACCAAGCGTTGACTGAGACGTTGACACTGAAATAACGGATCGATCAGTTGGCACGTAACACATTCGATTCATGAAACTGCCTGATCGCCTATAATTATGTTAATTATTATTTTATTTTTATTTTTCTATTGTAACATGTAGGATGTTGGTATTGCTATCAAAATATATTTGGAATTAAAATATTTGCTTAGCTGAAATGTGGTATTCAAAATATATGTAAGGTTTGCGGAGGATAGGGGTGAGGGACGGAGCCCCCTACGGGTCTGTGTTAAATAATTGCGCATGTGGAACACAGTTTTCGAATCGTTGGACTAAGCTCCTCTACTTAATTTTTCCCAATTCGAGCACTGCTTATAGACCTGTTATAATAGGCAGTGGCGTGTTTTTGGAGGGGGTGGAGGTTCCCGGATTTTGACTCCCCAGAAGAAAAAAAAGGTTCATTTTATTAGAAAAATGCAAAAAAAATCCCCATAAAAATGTGAAAATATCTACACCACTGATAATAGGTCTATGAATATAACTATTTTAAATTTACGACTTAATTATTGTTTTTAATTTCAATTATTTAAATATGTAGGTAACTTATAATCAAGTATTGAATTTACTGTTCTATAATATTTTTTTATATTTATATTCTCATAGGTAACAAATATTAACGTGAAATGGTGGTCTACCATTATAAAAAAATCTACATTACAATTAATAATCGACATGGTAAACACTATGTCATGGTAGTATCAATAATTTAATTACTATATTATTTTAGTTTTGTGTTTGTATTTATTTTCATAGGTATTAAAGTAATATTGTCCCTCTAGTCTGTATAAACCAGCTAGGTCTAGCTGGGTCCACACGATGATGGTAAAACGCGATAGTTGTTATCGTGAAAGCTGCTATCATGTGAGTGTCATCATGTGAACTGATCGATAGTAACTATCGGACTATGGAGAAAGCTACTCTCACACTATCATGCATGATAGTTGAACGGGATAGTTAGTATGACGATGGAAGGCATCGCGATATCGTGTAAACAGATTGATAGTAGCTCTCGGGCTACCAAAAGAGGGACTTTCTACCTTAGATTATATACGAGTAGGTATAAGTATAGTACAGTAGCGTGGTAAAAGGGTTTCTATGACACCCAGGAGTCATGGTGAAAATGATATGGGTGGGTGGGATTTTGGATGTGTAAAGATTTTGGACGAATACACACTTAGCGAATTTCCAAGTTTAAACTCCAACACATAAAACGAATGCAGCGGAATACACGGTAATTGATAAAAATATAACACACAACAATTATATCAAAATTCTGTATTATTTAAATTAATTTTAGTTGATTTCAACATAAAAGAGGTAAAAAACTTCTTAGAATTTACTAATCTGAAATTTGAGTTGGCAAAATGTAAGTAGGTAGGTAATTCAATCTTTAATCATTTTTAGTCTTCTTCAATTTATATTTTTAAAAAAATGTAAACGATGTTGTGTTAAAGGAAGAAGTGGGTGGGTAGATATTGAAATATATATTGTGCATCATCAGTGCCGGATCAAACATATGTGGGCCCCTAGGAAATTACAATTTTGGGCCCAACAATATTAATTTTTACATACATCTATAATAACATTACTATTATTATATTATAAATAACATTACTATCCAATAATTAAAATAAATAGCTTTAATAATAACCAACTATTATTAATAAATAAAATCATGTTTATTAATTTTTTTATTTTCAAGAAAAATTAATTAATTATTATATTATTTCTGTTTTTTTTCAAAATAATTTTATTATTATTACTGCATATAACATCTAAAATTTAATATATATTATATTTCATAATGACTTTTGTTCTGTAAATTCGTAAATAAAATACAGATATTATTAAATAAAAAAAAATATACTTTTCGTTTTCACAGGACCCCTTAAACGAGTGAAGCCCTGAGGCGGGCACCTACTTCGCCAATGGATAATCCAGGCACTGTGCATCATGGTTTATAAATATTCACCACACCACTGGTTTAGTAACGATCTAAGCTCAGTAGCGTAGGAAGACGCGCTATCGCACCTGGAAAACTTAGAAAAAAACGCCTTTTAACCAATTAAAAATTTGATGTGATGATACATTTTTTAACCGATAATTTTACTGATTTTTTTTAAGAATAAAATTTATATTTATAACTTATTATTATAGTGTAAATTTTGAACTTTAAAAAATTGCAATTTTTGCTTTAAAAATGGCGAATTATTTTTTTCCTATATGAATTCCCTTGTGATATTTTCATCTTTAAATGTACAATTAGACATGATCTACATAGTTAAAAAATTTTCATTTTGAAGGTAAAATGAAAATACGAATTATGCACGATTTTGCACCTCTGACGTAGGCACAGTTCGCCATGCCCTTGCTACGCCACTGTCTAAGGCTTAGACTCTAAGCTCTAAGTTATCATACATGCATGACAATATGTGAGTCACTATTATGAGAGTGATAGTATCTATCACCGTGTAAACGTTTATTATCTCATTTTCCTCCAACGAGAGAGTAGAACTTTATTTTAGTAATTATGGCTAACTTTATTATAATAGAATTTTTTGAAGAATATCAAAGGCATTGTTGTTTATGGGACAAGGGAATTGCAGACTACAGTATTATAGTAACTGTTAGGATCTTAAAATGCTAATTCTCTCGTTATTGTGTTTGATGCACCTATTGCAATTCGTCGTTGAATCCAAGCGCGTTTTTCTTTTGTTCTTTTTAGATCGTCTGAGCTTAATAATACAATCAAAGACATTCATAATGGCATTTGTCACTTCAATTGACGACATTTTAATAGACGATTTAAAAATAAACCTATGACATTTCCCAGCGGACATTTTCCCCCGAAGATATATCCACGCGGGTATTTCTTCGCACGTCATTTCCCCGCGATGACTAAATTATCCCCGCCAATAATATCCCGTAAATGATTAATTCTAATAAATAAAGAATTATAATAAATACCTATTGTCTAGTATCGTATCGATTGGAGATAACCAGATGTTCTTATAAATGTCTTGTAGTCATAAAATAAGATAGTATTGAATCCGCAAGTGTTTTTTTTAAATTTATCAAAAGCGGTCAAACTTCAAAGTATAATAATATTATTTCAATTGGTTTATAAATTATAATATGTACTTATCGTTAAAATAATAAAATATAATAAACGAATATGATAATATCAATATTTTGACTAGGTATCTAATTCAAAAAAATAATCTGTGTTATATTATGAGATTATGAGCTCGTCATCGTACAGTGCGTTATAGTTCAATTAACGTTCAATTAACCAGTTAACCACCCAACAAGTGTTTTTATACGATTTATATATATATTTTTTTTTAACCAGATAATGTATTTTTTTTGACATGGGATTTGTGACAAGTAGTAAAGGTAAACGTTTGATGTATATTTTATTGAAATATTTTTGGTGATAATACAATATGTATGTTCTGTGACTGGAGATCATGCAAAACCCGGTTTGTTGTAGACAAAAGTCATTAAAGTGCTAAATTGGTAGTCGGTACAATGATAACTAACAAGAAAAATATAAATATAATAATTTAATAGGCTATTATATACATTTAATAGTTAATTTTTTTTTACGACAATAGTTGTAAGTTAAAAAAATTATTAGATACCTATTAGCTTTTATTTCGTATATTATTTCTATGTACTATGTACTCTTTGCCCTCGCGGGCGTTATCTATAAATAAAATTAAGGAAGAACATTGCTTTGAAAATATTATAGTGGGAACTTGTAATTAATGAGTCTATAAAGTATTATTATACTATTAAGAAAACTAAATTATTTTATAAAATATTTAGTGGTTAATTTGTATTTAATTCTAAAAATAAATGTAATTTATGTTTCTGTATTAATCTATAAAAACTAGATTTTATCGTAAAAAAATTAAGTACACAAATATGTACAATATGTTTTAGAACTATAAATCTATTATATTGTTAAAATAAATAATATTTTTTATATAATAATAAATGCCTAAAGGCTAAAAGATTTTCTAGGCAAATAAAAAATAAATCTTTTCTCGAAACTGGATAAAATTATGGTAATGTTAGTCACCAAATAATTTTCTCTTATTGATAATTTCTGTCTTGTAGGTTAAACTTTTGACTTCATCAATGTCTAGTTTAACTTATGATACAAAATATTAAAATAATCGATTCACCATTATGATGTTGTTATGTTACGTTTGTTAGGGGTAATTTATAAGTAATAAAAATAATAATAATAATAAAAATTATAATTTATAGTATAAGAAACTGAATAATTATTTTCGATCGAGTTAATTTTAATAATAATTATTTACAATTTTTAAATTTAATAGTCAGCTGTATTAAATGCCATCATTTCTTCTCCCCATTCAGTACCGGCTTGAACATCTGTTTCCTTTGGTCGACAACACGGCAATAAGCATTGTTCATAACAACAAGCTTTGCGCAGTAGAAATTTTACCCGTTTTGGTCGTATAACGGTTACATAAAGAACAAGAGCAGCTTGCACAGGATTGAAGATGACATGCAAATAAAAAAGTGTGTCTTGTTGGATCCACGAAAATATGAACAACGTCAAATCGACAACCATGATTGCAAATAGTTTTGAAAACATTCCGAAACTGTGGGCAAAATAATTTACAAACATTAGGTATATTATATTAAAAATGTGCATATTATAAATTTTTGTTGGTTATCTAAATTGAAAAATAACTTATTGGTAAATCTGACTTTTTACATTGTATAAGCACTTATGTTAAAAGTTTACAAAATTTAATTTCGTTAAATATTTTCTGTGGACTTTTATTAATATGCATGTATTTATTTTAACACTTAACTATTATTTTTTACCTATATTTCATTTTATGGTGAATTTGTCCATACGTCGACATTCGTTCTATCACTGTCTTAGTAGAAAAATAAAAGAACAAATTGACTAGAATCGTACATATGACCGGAACGAATATAACAGCGATCCCGAGCCATCCTAAAAAAAAATAAAAAAATAAGTACCTATTTACATTAATTACTGTTAGATGTACTATTAATAAAACTCTTTTAGATTCTGAGCAAAAAAAATACTTGTTGTTCAGTGTTATTGATTTTGAATTTATTTATTTTCTTTTAAAACATTTTGAGCCAAAAAATTTCCACTAGTTAATTTAAAGTATTTTGTAAATATAAAATTTGGACACATATCTCATATCTACGTAATAAGTATTTATTTTTACTTTTTTAGTAGATAGTTTTTTCTAATAATCGATTAATAAAAAAGTCTAAACAAATCTTGAAAACAACTTTAATTATTTTGAGTTATTATATTTAAATGAAATAAGTAGTTTTATGTTTTATCACCATCAAATTTAATGTAAAGTTAATCATATAAATTGTATAAATTAGGTATAAAAAATCGAATTGTTACAACAGTACATTTTTTTTCATTAACTAGTAAAATATATGTATGAGAAAATATGTGTTATATTTTCAAGACTTTTTGTCAAATCAAAATAATTTTATAGCAATTTTACATAGAAAGGCTAAAAAAATATCATATAAAATTTTCTAATATCTATAAATAGCTCAAAAAATAAAATCATACATTTTACATAACTAATACGAGTACATTCCTTGTTTCACTCAGAATCTAAAAAATCATCATGGTATAACCAATAGCTTCCTCATTTCATTCAGAATCTAAAATACGATGGTCGATGTACAAATATTTAAATCGGTAGATTTACTCATATGAATATTCATCGACTCTCGCTATAATATTTTTTTCATATAACGAGTTAATAATAATTGTATAAGTACACGATAAAAAAGTATGTAACTGATTAAATTTAATTTACCTATGGCTCCTTCTATTGATATGGTTGAAGATGGATGAGGAGAATAGTTTCTATTTATGTTGTCGGTACTTGAATCTAATATGAGATGAGCAAAAAGTGCCATGCCTCCCATAGTTAATGTACAACCCCAAACATATAGCGAATAATAACAATATTTTCGACCGTCGGTGATACGTAGGAAAACGTTCCGTGATTTGAATGTACGCCAGATGTAATATCCCATGGCGTTGAGCCAAAAAAATGAACCGAGGGTAAAGATGTAGAGAAATGCATCTAAAATCAAAGTAATAAATTATAAGAATTAATATGCAATTTGATTTCAGTCATTAAGATTGTTGTAATAGGTAATCATTTTACTGTATTATATTGTTTATTAAGGTTGTAATATTTTATTTTTTGTACAATTAAAAAAAATAAATAAAAATACGAAAATGCAAGTATAAATAATACGTATGAGCATAACTAACATACTATATGTATATAACGTGTAATATAGTATAATATATACTATATTATAATATATACTATACTATAGTATACTATAGTGTTCATTAAAAGTTATTTATATCTTTGTAGTTTTACGAACATTAAACATTTTTATATCAAACAATCAAAAAGACTTCTCGTAAAAATACCACAACTAATTACAACTTTGTATAAATAACTGAAATTATGATTCAAAGTTAAAATATAAATGGGAATAACAAAGAGGACTAAGGGAGTAAAGTTATAGCACGTCACTGTTTTCAGTATCTAATGTAAACAGTACCTTTATTGACATGGTCTAAGATAAAATTAGTCGAGAATCATTCCGAAATGGAATTATCTATAAAAAAATGGTCGAGTTTTTAAACCCAAAGGTAACATTATTACATATCATTATTATGATAAAAATATTAAAAACCTAATGAGTTATGAGTAGGTACTTAGATTCGAAATAAAAATAAAATAAAAAGAACGCCGAAGCGTAATTTTTATAATTGTATTACTATAAAAGGTTATCATTATTTATCTGTTTGAGGTGATAAAAATGCATTAAATATTAATTAATTTGTTTGTTTTAACTTAATGGTCAATCTTTTTTGTTATTTGTATTTGTTATTTTCTCCGCACTATGGAATGAAAGAACGAGATAGTTTATCCTTCGGCCTATAGGTATTATACCTATATTGATCATTTTCAATTTATCTCCGAAGCGGATATAGATTGTATCAATTATATCGTATTATAAATAACATATTTTAATAAATTGTAAACATACCGGCTGTTAAATAGCTTATTGGTCCGTTGTACTCGACAAATATGCGCACAATGTCAGCGATTCTAGCTACGATCATACAACCAGCTAATGTAGTAACCATATTTCCTATTAAGTCCCTGAGTTGCGGTAACACAAAATGAACAATAGCCACGAGCAATAGCCAAGTAATTGCGATGGCATGACCAGCTGGATTCACGACTCTTCGCATCACATAATCGGTGTCTGTCCATTGCGATGGTATTGGTGGCGTGCATATGTAAGCTACTTGGGCATTGATGTCTGGACTATCAATGCCAATGACCTATTACAAAGTAAAATCAAATCATGATTGTTTTTATCATACAGGTACAACATAAAAATATAATTTAATATTTTAATTTTTTTTATTAACATAATTTAAAAATAATAATAATTTACTTTGTCTAAACAGTAAAACTCTTGTTCGTAGTCGAAATAACGTTCGTGGTCAATTATGTAATCTCGCTGCTGTTGTTCTTCATTGGTATGCTGCTGGTGTTTTAAGACGTAATGTCTAAGTTTTCCATTCGGATACAACACTAGGCGATCGCTGGAACCGGTATAATTATAGACAACCCATTTTTGACGATTCTTGCAATTTGGGAACCCAGTCACTAATCTAAATCCAAATATAAATAAATATAAAGTATATAAGTATGTACGAGTATAAACATCTGGTATAAAAATAGAAAACATTGTGGGAATGTTGGAAGGTAAACACTTAACATATTGAATAACAATCGTGTTTATGATTTATTTAATATTCAATAAAAACAATAAAACATGGTACATAGAACGAACTAATTTATTTTAGATTTTAAAGAATTTGAAAACATTTGTTTATGATTTCAATGCCCCAAATACTAGTTATTTATGGTTTCGTGTACAATCGCTATTATTATCATTATTTAGATCGATTACTTAGTGATTATTAATATTTATACTTAATTTGAGAATCGTGTGTTGTCATTTAAAAATTATAAAAAAATTCAGACAGCAAAAATATTTTAGCAACTATTTTTGTTAAATTTAAATATAATAATAATCTATTAAATTAATAAAATGTAATATTAAACAAAATCAGTAAAGAAGTAAATGGCTTATATTTATTTGTTACCTATTAATGGTAAAATAATTATTGTTGTTTGAGCAAAATAATGTTCTAAACAATGGACAGTAAAGTAAAATTATTGTGAACGTAGTATAAAATAATCTTATCTAAAATACAAAATATGTAAAATAAAAATGTTTAATAAAAACTATACCTAAGCTAGGTACATAAAATACATTTAAACTATACGTGTTATTAATTATAATATTATTATGAGTATTAAATTATACATTAAATTATATACTTTAATCAATTAATTGAACTAATTCATTCATTTTAGTATAAGATCCTTATTGTCAATAAAACAATGGATAACTATATGGGAAGGGGAGATTTCTTTCTTGAAGCGACTGGCACAGTTAGTGATTTTTAGTAAATTTAAACTGAATTTGACAGCAATAACAGCGATTTTTTCAAATTAAAAGAAAATTTAACAAAAATATGTAATATCCCACTATAATTCAAAACCGTTTCAATTGCATTCAGCGCCACTAGTCGGACCGATCACAATTGCAATAACTAAATAGTTAACTTAATAGTTAACTAAAAATAAGACAGAACTATCGATAATTACATTATTATATCATTACCCGTATCGCTACCAATAGACAGAAAACTCAACTCTCGTGTAACATACTCGTATTTTCTATAACAGTAAGTAATCTATATTAATATATAATTAATTAAGCCACCTACCATCAGTGGTGTAGTTCAATAAAAATTAATGGATACACGCTTGAATCATCATGGATATCAAAATTTAATAAATATAACCCACATTAATATTATTTATTAGTACGTCTTGTTCACGTTCCGTGTACCTGCGTACCACGATTTTCGTTGAGGGTACACGCATAATTATAAAATTAGAATATGGATAGAGATGAATTTAAATAATCAGATGGTTACTTTATCTATATCCTATAATAGAAAACATAATAATAAAATTACGAGTATAAAATTGACAATATGCATCGAATGAATGGCACTTTTACAATTAATAATCGTATTTTATTACAATAGTATTTTCAGTGATAATAAAATGATGATTTTTCGAATTTATTTTTATTTCAAATTGTACTATACCTACATTATTTTATACATGTCGAATATGACATCGGCTTAAAATATATTGGTTAGTATTATATTACTATGATCACTTTAAATTCCCACAAGAATTTTAATCAAATACGATATGATTAAATAAATACTTGGAAAGTATGACACATAACTAAAATTAATTTAGTGAAAATATTTATTTATTTTTTTTTTTTTTGATGGAATGAATACAAATTTATAATTTATATTACATTTAATACAGATATTATATTATATTATCACGCATTCAAATAGTTATGTGATTACACGTTACATAGTATTTATCATTATTACTTGTTACTCGCAGATCTATTCCTTTTATTAATAATCACGAAACGTTTACACAAAATTATTAATTTGTAGCACGTAAGAACTACTGTCGAGAATTGTTACTAAACACAATACAATCACACTGCGTGTGTAGGTATTCGCAAGTAATCGTGGAAGAGGAAGCTTTTTTCTTTTTTTTTTTGTGAATCGATAGCCGAGTAGAAGTACCTAATTTAACACAATATTACTTATTCGACTCCAAGTTGTGGAGGAAATCGTTATTTAGTAACTGTTGCAGTTTACTTCGAAGTAGCAGTGAGTAGTAACCGACTTCGTCTCGCTAACCTCGTGAACAGATTCCCCAACTGCCTATTATTAGCCAAGAAGAAAACTAATGCGGCTGTAGTCGTATTCTTTAATATACAAGTATATTATTATCAAGGTTCGGAACTTAATGCGCTTAAGTGTACTTAAATACGAGCGTATATATGCGTTAAAATCATCATAATATGCAGTAAATATTTGGAAAACATGCAAAAATATGCAATTTAATGAATAAAATACAATTTATATAGGAAAATTAGGTATATGAGGAAAAAAAAATTAAATGAAAATTAAATAAAAACAAAAAAAAAACTACACACTCGTGTATTATTGTGTCTTCCTGTTACACAAGCTTTACAATCTTCATCAAACTTTAATTTTTTTGTGGATAAACGTATAAATACTAATAACGAACACTTAATATATGGTACAATAATAATGCCTTGATAAATTTAAATACAAATAAATTCGGGCCAGTCGGCGATCACTATTACGATTTCTCAGTACAATACAAAATTATAATATCATTGGAAGCTATACTAAAATAGTCATTGTTAATTAATTAATTTTGTCAACAAACAATATAAAATGTAGAATATTTATTGTCATAAATTCAATATTTTTTGTTGAACTATAAATTTATAAGAAAAAAAATAGTTTCATTAAATTTATAAAATATGTATATAAAAGTTCTTAAACCATAAATATGCGAATTCTTACAAAAAATAACGAAATATGCAAAATAATTCAACAAAAAGGTTTGTATTTGAAATCTGTGTACTATGGATTGAATTTGTATCGAACCAAAATTTCAATATGCATTTTTCTAAACTAACAACTAACTAACTAAACTGCAAATGCCTAAAGTTCCAAGCCATGACTATTATAAACGCAAGGGCGTATTTGAGTCGAGACCATGGGGGGAAACTAAATTTCCTTCAATACAAACTTAAAAATTAATTTACAGTTCATTACAAGGGCGTACCCCAGGGGGGGGGGGGGGGGTTTCGAGTCCAGACCCCCATTGAAATTTCTATATACTCAATGGTTTAATAGTGTATTTTAATTTTCCATTGGCTAAAATATACAAAGTTTAGAGATTATATAATATACCTATAATGTATAAACCATGTATAATTTATACTGCTTTTTTAATATTATTTATTATTGTTAATTAAATAATGTATTTTTTTATAACATTTTACTACCAAATAAAAATTGATTTCAAATTATAGAACTTACCTATTATAGTAAACTTTTGTGCAGAATATGTGTGATGTGTGTATAAAAAAAAAAATCCTGGGTACGCCTTTAGTTCATTATCTACAGATTATGTTCCTGTTGTTCATTCGAGTGAATAAATAAAAATACAAGTACCAAATTATATTTATATAATAAAATAATATTTTTATGCACATGCAGCAATGCCAAACCGTTAGTCTATGCTGGCCTATTCTTGATCTTGACCATGTTTTAAATTTACAAAAATATATTTTCGGCCAATATTTGCAAGTAAAAGAATATGCATAGGCGTGTCTGAAAATTTCTTACAGGTATGGCCAATAACATTTTTCAAAAAAACAAAGAGTGACTTATACACAACACACTACCTCGAGAACGTACGTAGTAATTATAGTTACTACAGTAACTATAGCTAGTAAAAAATATACTCACTCTCTTCAAAAAAATAAAAGGTATAAAATATAAAATACAACTAGAACTACACGGGTACTTATAGCTATGGATATTAGAAAATAAATATTCTGAACATGGAAACAAATATTGTCAGTTATTATGATTATTATTTGGGTTTTAGGATCTTCTAGCTCTATAAAATACACAAATATGCATGCATTTGTGCACAAAAAAAATGATTAACTAGTAAATATGTGGTAAAAAAAGTGTTACTTTAAATTACTTTATATTATCTGATAAATACCTCGGTTATGGTTGTAAATGTCTATAACCGTAACAATATCTGTGGAAGATAATACCACTATTCGTTACACAACCAAAAATGTTATGATATATGAAGATAAACAAAAATTGATACAACTACAATACAAATACAATAATACAATACAAATTGATCAAATTCACATATTATTGAACTTATTATCATATTATAATGATAGACTAGTAATTTATACTCTTAATTATTTATACATCACATTTTTTAAATAAATCAATGTATTATATTCAAAAAATACGAGCCGTGGGAGGGGGGCAAATGATCCCTTCGCCTCCTCCCCTCAAATACACCCTTGTATAAACGTATAAAATCTGATCGAAATACATAAAAGATAACACACTTAGATTGCAGCGGATTGTACGCTCGTACCATAAACTACATAATAATATAAATACGATAACTATGTATGTAACTACTTATGTAACTATGAAATTCTATGCACAAAATTCGACGAGGGAAAATTAATGCCGGTAAATCAACGCCTGTGTGAGAGTGCGATCGCGATCGCGGTACGAGATGAACATCGTGTATAGGTATGTCGACTACGACCACTCACGTATATAAGGAGTAATTTTTGACAAATATGCATGAACATTAAGTTACCGAGTATTTTGGAGTGTGAGTCTGTCATAGTTTCCTGTTCACATCGCCCCTCTCTCACGGCATTTCCATCTGTACTAACAATGATTAGTGACGCACAGAGAGGTGAACGAGTAATGCAACTACATATGATCTTGAAGGAGGCGAGTGTCAAGATCATCAAGTGTCTGAAAGACTTTTACTTCAAACTTATATAATACTTATACCTTGGAGTAAAGAAATTAGGCATATTGTTTAATTGCTATTACAAGAATAAAGTCTTTGAAAATAACTTGTTCCTAAATGCTGGGTGTAATTTTATTTATTCTTTATGAGCAACATTTTATGGCCATTTTGAGATTTACACAGTGGCTAATTTATTCGTAGGCACTATAGATATGTGCCTACAGCGGACAATTCTAAGAGACGGCAATTTTTTTATGATTATTAGTTTTACGCTATTATATATTATAATATTTATATACATTTTTAGGTTTTCTAATACTGTAAAATATGTTATTTATACTCCCAGTGGCGTTGAACTCGGGGTTCAAGTCTGGGAATAATCAGACCCGTAATTAGATCATATTTTTTGGGTAATGAGTAGTGCCGTGGTGAATAAGTATACAAGTATTAAGTGATTAATTAATTTAACTATACATTATAATACTGCCCGTTTTATAATTACTATTTAAAATGTTTGAATATACAAATTACATCATAAATACTAAAATAGTTTAAAATTTTTTGAAAAGGTTGAACTCTCAACCTCTTAAAGTATGTTTTTTAGTGGGTTTGGTTATAAGTTGTAAATTGGGTGGCCATTGACCAGACCATTCAAAATTTTGTTCGGCGCCACTGTATATAATATAGTATAAACTACTATATTAAAAAATAGTAGAAAATAGCTTACCTCACTAACAGTTAACAAGATAAATATTTTTATAATTTCTTATCGTCATTCATATGTACAAGATTTAAGAATTTTTATGAAATAAATCGCTATCGATGATTTATTAATTAAAATATCTAGCAATAAACAAGTATTCTGAATTCAGTCACTATTCACGTTGCCGTATGTGTAAATATTTAGTACGTAAATCCTTTTATTTTTATTTTTTGCATCTACTAACTTTTTGTTATTTATTTATTTATTATTTTTACTTTTTTTTTTTGTGAAAATGAGTAAAAAATAGTTAGGCGATAAACAATATAAAAATGTTGTTAAGCTATAGAGTGATAATTTACAAAATGTTTTAAATCATAAAGAAATTGATGGATTTTTTTGAAAATATAGATTATTCTACTTCTATACTACTATAGTGATTACTAGTGACGGGCAGAAGTGACTAACCTACCGACTCGTAATAGTAATATGATTAGTCATTTGACTAATATTTTATTCGACTATGTACGACTCAAACTGATGAAAAATTAAAAAGTTTGGCATTGTTCTCAACAAAGAATGACGTGTCAAAAGAATTTAATTTTGAAAATATAATTGACACTTTTACTACTGCCAGATGTCGGCGTAAACCGATATAGTTAATACATTATTAATAATAATTATCCAAATATGAAGAATTTATTTTATTTATTGTACGTAGTTATTAATTATTTATAAAAAATGTTTAACTCTTAAAAAATTATGTTTTATTATTTAAATGAAATGTGTTTCTAAATTGTATATTTTTTAGTAAACAAATTCAACCATGTTCTATATTTAAGTTATTTAAGGACAGCAATTTTTCACAGCCCTATACAAGCGGGAAACATGTAAATACGCCCCTGAATTTACATCATTTTATTCCACCGGTATATCGGCCACACGAATAAAAAAATCATTATAGCATTTTTTGATATACCTTTTAATCGCCGTAGTCATTATTGTCTAGTACAAGTCCTATCATTGGATATTCGAACCAACGTTGTTAAACGTAACACACCCTAGAAATGTCGTCGCCCACATTCAGACAGCATAGAGCATTTTATAATATATTTGTGGTTTCATCAACTCGATACTATTAATAAAATCGTGTAGTCAATTGAAGGCTCAGGGTGACTATCAGGTTCGTCGAGTACACTTATTCGGACGAACAATCATATAATAACGTTGATCGATAAAGATGTATTTACACATGCAATGGTGTATTTTCGGAAGGAGAGGGGTTCTGGACTCTCGACCCTTCCCCAGAAGAAAAAAGGTTTAAAAGTCATAAATGACTTGCTACGAAGGTACAGAGAAAGAGCGCATTAATTTATATTACGTCATGTGTGATTCACGTGGTTGTAAATAAAGGGTTATTTGTATTCATAACAATAATAGAATAACATAAATATTAATCCAAATCTTATACGTACTTTTTGTAATATTATAAAAATCACTTATTTTTTTGGAAAAATGTCAAACACCTCCTACAAAAAATTTGAAAACACGCCATCGCACACATGTGTAATATTGTTGTAGTTATACGCAACAAAAACTACGGTATAAAAACCTTGAACCGGTAAGGTTAATGGTGGTTTCGTAACACGAGGCGAAGACGAGAAGAAGAGAGAACTGGATTATCGATTTTATAACGGTTTTTCATATTCTTGCGGAAGAAATCGTATCACACACAGTGCTGGACTTGGCAAAATGAAAGTAGGGGGACTCTATTTACTTTAAAAAAAAGAACGTCCCTAAAACTGGCTGAGTGTTATGATTATAGCGTAATAATAGTAGTGGGACTCTAAAATCTCTGAAAATTAGTTGGGATACTCCATCCCCCCACGTCACCCTTCAAGTCGAGCACTGATCACACACACACACACACACACACACGACCACAATAGCAATGAAAATAACCGTACAAAAGTGTACTGACTTGTAAGAGACGGACGAGGCGGGCAACGTCTTCAGCCCAGCAACGGCTTCGTCTTCATTGCTCGCGGTGAACTCCGGTGTCCAAGGCCTGTGGCTGGTCGAGTTCGCGTTCCGACACCAGTCGGCGGCCAGCACTTCGTCGGGGCCGCAACACTTGTGCACCGACGTCGCGGCGGCCGCATCGATCTCGGTCGTCGGTACGGCGGTCGTCACCGGCGGCGCGGTGTTCTGCAAGTCGGCTGCGGACGATCGGAACAGTAGCAGCGCGGGCAGCAACGGCCACAAGGACAGCGGACCGCCGTTCGGCGATCGCCGCACCACCGGTCGGCTGCCGTTACGCATAGCGTTCGGTCACATGGTCGTCACGCCACGCGACCGGCGAAGAACGGGGTTAGATCCGCTAACGGACCGTCGGCTGGTGAAGGGGTGTGTGGGGTGGTACGGATGTGCGTTTTTTTCCGCGCGACCGTCGGACGCGATAGAAGCCGGTAGGTATAGCGAAACGACGAAGACGGTCGTCGACGGCAACGCGACGATAAAATGTTGTGCGGACCGCGGCGGGAAAGCGAACCGGGTGCGACCGACCATGCGTGCGTGCGTGTCGCCTTGTACGGCGGTTGTGTCTACGTGCGCGCGCGCGGCGCCTGCACCGGGTCTGGTTCACGATACTCTTCGCTCTCCCCCCCCCCCTCCCGATCGCTCGCGCTCCGTCACTCTCGCGCTCAGGTGGGGTTTCGTTATTACATTGTCAAACGGGCCCGGGTACCTCTAACCGGTGTGCGCGCGCGTGTGCTTGTGTATATGCGGCGCGCGAGGGCGTGCGAGTGCGCGCGCGACCCGCCGCTTTGTCAATCCGGCGCTGATGTGGCGGAAACGGTAGTACCGGTAGTGGTTTTCTAAGTGGAGGGGAACCGTACACGTACACACATCATGCCGTACCGATGGTTTTTAGCGACACGCACGCGCACGCACATCATCACGTCATCCGTAAACGCGGTCGTGCGTTTTTCGTATTTTTCCCAACACGCATACCATAAAGATGGTTTGCATACACGATCAGTAACTTCCATAGTGCCTACTGGCTATATCGTACGTGCGTGTGTGTGTTTACTATTTCTATAATCTGACTGGTGGGTAGACGGGGCTATTACTGTCTATTATTTTCTCAGTATTACTCATTACCGTTGGTATTATAGTTTATAATTATCAGACGCGTGCGTAAAAACAATATTTTGAGGGTTTTAGATTAAACATTTTCATCATTTTATAAAACATTTTTACTCCATAAAAATATATTTGATAGCTTTCCTGGAATACGGGAGGTGGTGGAAGCTCTAAAACCTCCCCTTGTGTACGTACCAGATAATAATGTTCAGCGTTCATGAAAATATCTAACTGCAGTACCGTTGTTAATATTTTCATTATTGTTATGAACATATGTATATACAGTACGTATAAATGAACGACCCGAACCGCAATCGAATAGTTGTCAATTTATCGTTTAATAATAATTCTTCGAGCGAATATTGTATAAAGTTATATGTTTATAACATTGTATCAAGCTTTATTGTAAGAATTTTTTCAAACTGCACAAATAGAATACATGTTATAGGGGGGAGGGCTTCACCCCACACTCTTCACAATGATTTTATTGATTCTGATGAAGCATACGATGAGTCCAAAGACACGGAAGTAGCCAACATCGGTTTCACTAACCAATTATTTAAATAATTTGACGTCATATTTATCATTTATTTATTTTTAGCTATACTTCACGAACGGGCAAATCGTCCTTAATAATAATAACTTCAATACTATGCCAACGCATTTATTTTAAATATACAATTTATGTAAATGTATGTAATTGTAAAATATGAATATCTAAACAAATAATTTTAATTTGTAGAAAATAATCGTTTAATAGAAACTAGTGACGGCCGAGGACTTCAAGTAGGTAAAGATTAAAGAAAATAATATCTAACCCATAAAATATATAAGATGGAAATAGTAATTTGATAAAAATTAATAGAAATTTGATTGTGAGACCACGTATAGATTTTTTTTGGGCAAACGTAAATTGCGCCCCGTATTTTTCGGGTACACAATTTTTTGTAGTAAATTGCGCCCAATAGAAATATTATTTTTATGATAGTCATATATGGTAGCATTACCCAGAGGATACCACGAAGAGACGGATATCACTGTCCTCCAAAAAAATTTTTTTTGTTTCACTTGAAATGAATAAATTAATTAATAAAAATTGGAAAATTAATTTTTTTTTTAATATTATGGTATTAATTATAATTTTTTAAATATTTTTTGTTAGTTTAAAAATGTTAATAATAAAAAATATAGATATAAGTTATCTGCATAGTAATGAGACATCATCTTCACATATTCAGCCCTCGTAATAGTGTTTTCATTGTATTGTTGAATCATTTTTTTTCATTTTTTGAAATTTTTTATTTGATTTGGTGTTTTGAAATGTAGGAACAAATGAAATCTATGAAACTATAAGGTTAGATATTTAGGTATTTAGGTATTAGGTTTTAGGTATTATAGGTATTTATACTATTCATTTTTATATAAATTTCAGACTGTAACATTAATATTGTATCCATAAAATTATAAATATGAGGTTACTTAGATAATAGATACTATGGGCGCAATTTACTATACCCATTTTAGACCCCGAAAAATCCCGGGCGCAATTTATTATATTATTTTTAATATTTACTTAATGTGGGCGCAATTTACAAGCGCCCATTTTCTTAAGTCACCTATTAAGACGGGTCAAAACATTTAGCTCCTTCTATTAAAAACTGAAATGTTGCCACTGGACTGACGCGTCATGACGTAAGAAATATTATTATGTGAGCGTCGCGCTCACATATGTGTACCAAACTACCAATGACCGCGTTGGATTAACGTTAACAAGTATAATTCAAAGATAAGTGAATTTCAATAAAAAGTATTTAATATAATACCTATACAAGTCGAGAAATTCGGTACCAATTTTTGTATTAAAATAATTAAAATTTTTATTTAATTAATTTTTTTATAATAAATTACGCTTATATGCTATTCTTATGTGCGCTACGAAACTTTTTGCACTCCGAAATCCCAAATGAGCACCATTAAAAATAAAAGTGTGTATCTAATTTGTTATAGTACAATGATCTATAATATATAAACTATACTTTGCACTACTTCTTCAATATTTTATAAAACCAAATTAACAAATACAAAATGATTGTGCATTCCGAAAAATAACCACTGTAATGCACTATTCATTTACAGTCATTTGTACACAAGCCCTCACAAAGTAAAAAAAATAATAATAATTATATAATACATAATAAGTATTCACTTATTAATATTTTACCTTGACAATAAAAAGTCCGTAAATGATGCAAAACAAACACCTTCCTGTTAATTTGTTGTATTATCGCACATACGAGTAAATGGAAAAATTAAAGCATGTATGCACGGCCTAAAAGTACTTTGAAGCCCTCATGCAAATAAAAAATATGGAATTGTACACTATTTTTTTTTTTTAAATATTATATTGTTATACGATGAAAGTTATATTAAAAATTCATAGTAATCCAAGGTCTCCAAATAACAATGGTTAACCTCAGCTGCCTATCCTGCCTTATAGTATATGACCCTACATGTATGGTCAGTAGTGACGTAAAGTTTATTTTCAAATGAAGCAGTTACTTGTATCAAGTATCATGTAATAATGCAATTTATACAAATAATTACAATAATTTTGTATCAGCATTAATATTTAAATAATTTCAATTAATATCAGGCCATTTTCATTCAAGACGATTTTTTATTCCTACTCGTATACATAATCGTGTGTATGGGGTAGTCGGTAGGCACTTGACTACTCTGTGAACCTTCCCAACCTTACCAAAATATTCAACATAAAATATCACAATAAAAAATAATCATACTATGTTCACAAAGCCGGATTAAGCACCTATTGGGCCCCAGGGCTGAAATTTTATATGGGCCCTTTTGACAAAACGTGCTTTACAAAGCCGCTCGCTACGCTCGCAGAATGATACATTTTTTAACTATTTCACAAATTGCCAATTGCATTATAAAATTATAAAATTAATAGGTATATAAAATGTATGTTTATAAAAATACTAATTTTGGTATGATAAAAAATGCGTATCGACTTAAAATTGTCTGGGCCCCTTCGAGAGAAGGCTCCGGGGCTACCGTCCCGGCTAGACCCCTCTTAATCCGGCCTTGTATGTTCAACCACTTCGAAACGTCCGTAAACGGTAAATACATGTATATTAGAAAAATATAATTACCTATTAAGTTAAATTAAGTTACCCTATTCAAATTTGTTGTTAATTTGAAATGTGAATGTGTTATGCATGACTAGGTACCCTGCCAGTAATATATGCGCACGCTTATGCTCTTATATGTTATACTCGTACTTACTCTCTATAAACGCTCCCACTTAAATCTATCCAACCTAATCGCAATCCTATTGTCTCAAATATATATATTCTCAACATCCCAGGTTCTCTCATAAGGCATTTAATAGGTGTAAATAGTGCTGAGACTTTTTAAATAATTAAAAATTGTCCACTTTTATTGCGCGCCATCAATTCAACGGCTCTTGAGTTAGATTAAGGGGTAGAAGGTGTTTCAAATAATACTCAATTCTATTTTAACCACTATTTATGGTAAAATATATTAAGTCCAAAACATTTAATATATTAAGTAAGTTACTGACGTGAATGTACTTGCTAAGATTGAATACATCTCAGTATTGGTTTGTTCGGAACTATCTTATATACCCCGTTTTCATGTGAAACTGTGATCCTCCTTTTTTCCAAAATCTTAATTGGAAATGGTTTTGTTTTAATTACCTATTTATTATACCAATTTGCTAAAATTCATGCGTTTCTATATTGATTATCAGGACTCGTAAGGTCATGCACTAAAAAACGAGTAAATAATCATGCAATAATGCACCAACATTTTAATTGATGTATATTTAAGATATGCATTTCTATGCATTGAAAATCTTAAACTATGCACAAAAAAAAATGTATTAGCTTATTTTAAATAATAAGAATTATCCATTCATATTTTTAAAAGTTATAATTTATTTCTTCGATTACATTTTATTAAAATTCTAAATAACGAACACACGTTGCAACAAAAATATATTGACAGATTGTAATGCACACGTCAATAAGGAGGGTGACAGTAGTGCGCAATAACATTGTTTCCGTGGTACTGCTTTTAACTTATAAAAATCAATGTTATACAAAAATAAAAATACTGATAAAATATTAAGATCTTGTAAATATGTTCGGAAAAGTAATTAAGAATGAATTCAAGCATTTATTGACCTAATTTTTTTTTAACTTCAACAAAAAACGATTTTGCCAAATTTACATAAATCAATATGCGCTAATAACTAAAAAATCAACTAAATTCCAAACATGCTAATACACACAAGACATGCAAAAATATGCTCTATTAAATTTTAGATTTTTATAACCATTGATATGAAACGGATTTATATCTCAGTTAGCATGTTTTCCGATGTAGTAAAAAAAACATGCAAATTCATAAAATTACAAGCTCAGTCGATTACG